TATAGGTAAGAGCAAGTTAAGAAAACTAAAATACAATCATTTACTTATTATTTTAATAAATAAAAAATTCTTCAAACCAGTTCAGAGCAGTTTTATAATTTAATTGAAATTTGAAACAAAAGAATATTTTTGTGTTAACAACAATAAGAAATGTTTAACAACTCCAGAATATTTTAGTTGCCATTTGACAACCCTACATTATTAACAAGCACATTAACACATCAGTTTCGATATAAACGCGTACGGGAGCGCAAGTGTCTTATGATAAGAACGTTTTGTTGATTTTAACATCGCGAGAATCGATTAAGGTCTTAAAATTATTATGTTTTTCGTAATCAATATTTTAAGAACAATTTACGTAATCCTTTTAGAATATTGATTTATTATGGCAATTTCAAGTGTTACCTTGCATCTCTATTCATTAGGTAAAGTTTGTTGTTTAGTGTTTTAGTGAGAAGTTCGCTTGTGATACCATGAAATTCGATGCTGTGAATATATTTTATAAAGACAATTCAGCTAAATATCGATATAATAGTTCTTTTTTTCAGCTAAATATCGATATAAATAATATAATAGTTTTTTTATTTAAATTATAGTTAATAAATCACATTTTATAATAACTAATGGGTTATTCGATTAATTATCTCTTAAAAGACTGACATTAGTTTCTACTTAAAATCTAGTTCATGATAATTAAAAAAAGATCAGAGATATTTTAATGGTAGCTATTCATTTTATATTTTTTCAGACGAACAATATCTCATCTCTAGTGGCAATACACTACGAATAAAGTCTAAATAATCGTGTTTTAAAATGTTAATTCAGCACCATAAACAAATAACTGATGTAAAAAATATAAACAAAACAATGAATTTGTCACTTCATAGTATAAAACAAAGTCGCTTTCACTGTCCCTATATTCCTATGTATGCTTAAATATTTAAAACTACTACGGATTTTGATGCGGTTTTTTTCATAGATAGTGTGATTCAAAAAAGAGGTTTTTATGTATAATACAAGACCACGCGGGAGAAGCCGCTGGCGGAAAACTTTATTAATAATTAAGTAAATATGTATAATATTCCTTGTGACTAAGTAGACAATTATAACAATTTCTTTAACGATATTTTAAAGTTATACTATCCGAATTTCTTACATATTTAAACGTGGGATATATATACATATCAATTTTGTAAAAAAAATTGTCGCGAGCGATTTTACAATGATTCAAATTATCATCAAATTTGCATTCACACTGCTGCCTCTATTAATACTGCTGATAGAAACCGGCTATTGCTTAAAAAAACGACCAAGTGCGAGTCGAGCTCGCTCACGTAGGGTTCCGCACTATTCTATCTATGAAAGACGCAAAAAACACTTTTGTATTAGAACCCCTCAAATATTTATTTAATATTTTTTCAGTATTTATTGTCATAGCGGCAAAAGAAACACATCATTTGTGAAATTTTCAACTGTCAACTGTCACTGTGATTGGGTCTCGTTTTTGTCCTTTGCGTACGGAATTAGAAATCTGGAACGGAAAAGGTACCTAACAAAGTTGTGTGACCCTTGAAGCCTTAGTGCCAATTTTCATCAACATCATCAGCACTTTTACGTCCCCACTGCTGGGTATCAGTCTTCCCTATGGATGGTTAAGGGGTATGGGCCATGACCCTCCACGCTGGCTCAATGCGGATTGGATTTATACCCTAAATGACTTAAAATGCGGCCGGGATCAATAAGTTAACGTGCCGAAGCACGGAATAGTTTGAGATAATTTTTTTTTTTGGTCACCCATTCCGTGCCATGCGAAAGTTGCTTAATAACAACGATCTCGGGCCACGGTACTTGTCCACTACGATATGGAGCTACATTGCCAATTTAAGTGGGTCTTATTAACCAATTGACTTTGTCCAAGCTGAGATGTTTACGATGTTATCAAAGGTCATAGTTACGCTCACATCTTTAGTCCCCTGTGCTATAAAAATGACAATTGAATTTTATTTTGTGCGTCGCTTGCTGGTTTTAAGGTGACGCCGTTTCTGAGATCCCGGGTTCAATTATGGGTTGCGACCGCCATCTAGCAATGACTATAGCCATAGATAATGACATCTTACCGATATTTTATGGCAATATTTCGTTTAATTTTACTACTTTATCAAGGGTTAAAGTGCTTGTCTAGTATATAAGAGATCGCGAGTTCGAATCTCACCGGGGCCTATGTTGTTAGTTGATTTTTTATTTTGCTTTTTGTTTTATATTATTGGATTAAGTATCTTTTATTTTATCTTTCGATGAACAAATTTGAGATAAATGGCTAAATCCCAGTTGCACAAACATTTTAAGTTCTTATGAACGTTCTGAATTTGAAAATTTTGAAGTTACTATAAATTGATAACAATATTAATGGACCTTTGTGCAACGGGGTTTAAGTTGGTAACACTGTTGTCTATATATATTTATAATCATTGTTCGTTTGTCGTCATGATTTTACATACATCTAAATATATCTTAATAATTATAAAACAATACATAAACTCTTTTTGTACTTTAGGACTTGTTACTCCATTTTTATAAAAAAAAAATAATTTCACAGGTAATCTTTTGTTTAATTTTTATAATTTGAAACAAAAAAAATTAAAGTTTGTTCAATTATGATTACATTTCTGTATTTTAAAAATTGTTACCAAAAATTCTTGATAATTATGAACCCTGGTACATACATATAATTAATTCCTCGCGTGTTATAAATTACTTGATTTGTAATCTTTATACGATGTCTTCACGATAACTTCATCCCTAAAGAACCATTTAGTGGGATTAAGAATAGCTTATGTGTTAATTCAAACTTAGAATTATCCGAATGCCTAATTTCATAAAAAATAAGTAGTTTTTGCCTAAAAGAGTAACAAAGATACATCCGTCTTCAAAAAGTTTGCATTTATTATATTAGCACGATAGGACAATTTATTTGAACTTTAATTACTTATTTGTAACTTTAATGAAAAATGTTTGGAGATTGTTGATAAACATTTTTCATTAAAGATATTTATCAGTATAATATCATGAATATAAAATTGATCAAATATAATAATTTAATTATTTCTTAACACAATGAGAAATAAACTAATTCGCTTCCTTGAAACTTGGATTTTCGCACTTTAAGTTAACTAAGTAGTTTGCGTAACGTAAACCTGAGTTTACGCCTGATTCGGCAATATCGACTTGTACGACAATACGGCTTCGCAATAAGCCGCCTCTAAGCACTTATTTAAACTGCTGCAGTCTACAATACTATAATCCGGATATATGATATATGCCACTCCGTAATACGTGTTTCTTTCGTCGTCAAGGAGACTATAATTTATTTTCATTTTATACCGTTACAGTCCCACTTTGAGAAAGTGATTTAAGTTCTTTAGTTTATCAAGGATCAGTTTTCCATGTAAAATAAAACCATGACCCCTGTTGGTTTAATATGCTGTACCCAGTACTTAAGTCTAGAATAAAGTATTATACTATACGTTTTATGTATATAAGTAATATTATGCGTGAATATGATTAATTATTTTTATATAGTAATTTTATGAAGCTCCACGGACCACTTGGCATTGGGATCCTTCCAGGGACCACCACTGCGTTAAATAGAAGTAATTAAGAAAAAAAGCCATTAAATCATGCGGGTTCAATGCGGATAGGCGAGTGGTGATGGTTATTTATTATACGTCTAAACGATTATAGATGCAACAACAAATAGCTTCCTACCTTCCGAATTGCAGAGGAAATTTTTGGTCACCCATCCGAAAACAGATCAAAGCGATAGTTGCTTAACATCTGTAATTACAGATTTCTTTTGCGTAAGTAGCGGTTTGTGTTTATTGCGTGTACGCATGTCGTGTTGTTGCGGTCGCGGCTAAGCGGCCCGTCACTCGTCTCTTTACAACACGTGACTTCATATAATAATACTGACAATACACAAGTTATCAATGCACAAAATTTTCATAGAGCTTAGTATCATAAATAGACATTTTTTAAAAACTGATATTTTTGATGATAATCATATATTTATGTTTATTCCAATAGTCATAATTAAAGAAACTGTAGGCTAATTGTAAAAAAATATATAAATAAACCCGACTGAGTGAAAACAAAAGAAAAAAGTGAAAAACATATATACTTCTGAATAACTGCTCCATTAAAATAGTTTTTAAATCTGCACACACAAAACATATCATAAATTTAAAAAAAATTGAAGTATCAACAGTCAAGAACCATTCCTTTTTGACCAATCAACGGAACCCCGTATAATTGAAATGGGTAAATGGAAATGGAAAAAAACTAAAAAAAACTCATCATCATCAATAATAAAACAGTAAAAGTTTAACAGTTTTCCTAAGAGATTATGTAAAAATTAGAAACTATAATTAGGTCTAAAACTTATTAGTTTTGTTATAACAGCTGGTATATCACCTATATTCAAGATTTCTGTCCTGTCAACTTGGTCGCCTGTCGAGTGTGACGTGTGACCCGTTTAACGCGCGAACAGACAAGCAAAATGTTGGTGTGCTCATGTGGAATTTTAAACGTAGTGATTAAATTGTCTTTGCTGGAAGTGTTAATATACAAAACAAAAATCGTACATCTAACAAGAAAAAAAATTTTTTTTTCACTGTCGGTCGAGGATTTTCTTTGTATCAATAATCTTGTCTGTTTACCAACTAACAGATCCAGACAGTAAGTCATAAAATTTAATAAGAACTTTACGTTCATTCGGTACTATAATCGATATTTATCTTATAGAAAATTCTTAAAGAGCTTGAAGCTGAATTAGAAAACGTATATTTTGTTCATCGAGCTCCTATTTTATTGATAAATATCAATAGTTGAAAATAAAATGCGCAAGAGTCCAATGACTTCAATCAGTGAATAATATTTTAATGTGATATAAAGTGAAATTTAGGTGACAATCAGACAATAGTGATGTAAGAAAGTACGCTACAATGTTGCAACGTTTCCGTGTGGTTGCGCATGATGCGCGCGCGCGTTCGCGCACTTCGCGACGTCTCCCAAATGATACAACCTCTGCCAAAGATGAAGAAACAACCGACGCAGATGCGGCGTACGACGTAACGCATTATTTCGTGGATGACGTCACCGATCCGTGGAGGGAGGGTGGTGAGTATTGGATATTATGACAGCCTGACTGAAGTCTGGGCCGCGTGCGAGTGGCACAGGCAATTAAAGAATTACGTGGAGTGCTAACCTTGGAGAAAGTAGGAGGTATACCATTCAATATCAGTATCAGCCTTAACTGCCAATAGGCACTTTTGACGGCATAATTTATGCCATCGGCTCGCAAAGACGTTTTGTTAGATGAATCTGAAATGGAAGTTAGACAAGAGATCTGTTAACACCACCACTGTTAATGTTTGATATAAGCTCACGCACACATACTCATTTACATATAACTGCAATATTTTATTCGTTCCCAAATGCAATTCGCGCATCACGAATAGCGGGAATACAAATACATAATGCATGACAGTTAATTTTTTACGAATGGTGATCTTAAATTTTTGTCTTACCTCTTGTTTCAGATGCGTTGGAGCGCGAACGTCTTTCTCAGCACGCGGCGTTGCGCGAGTTGGTCTCCCGGGGTGATGTTGCACAGCTGAAGGCGAAGCTGGCCAGCCTCGGGAATAATGCTGGACTAATAGTGAACCTAACTCCTGGCGGAGCCAACACGCTATTGTATATGTGAGTAAAACTAGTTTTTGAACATACGGTTACGATTTTTTATTGGTATTATTTATACCAATATTATACAGAAGTAATTTATAATTTTGTTTGTTTGTAAGGGGTTATCTCCGGAAATTGTGATCTGATCATGAAAATTCTTTCACCTTCAGGAAGCTTCATTATACGCACCGTTTGATAAAACTAGAGGTTATGATTTACGCGTGCAAAGACACGGGAAAACAGCTAGTCGTTTATTTTATAAGACTAGCTGTTTACTACAAAATATGAAAATTTTGCAACTATACTTTGGCATATTATACCTACATAACGCATCCTTGCTTTCTTTAATCTGACATCTGTCTCTCTAGTAAAGTTTTGTCTTTCTTGCTACACCTATATCGTAACATACTCCTTTACTTCATCACAAGATTGTGCTATTGCATAATATATGGAGTATTCAGCTTGCTTACGAAGGACTTGCGTCACGCCAGTCGAAGTCTAAAGTTCAAACTCGAAATCTAACTCCGCAAAATGTTATGATCGGGCGGACGCTTCGCGTCTCAAGTGTATGGATGCGCAGCGATGTGAATAGTAGAGTCATCGTTTTAAGAGCACTCATTTACAGTTCACTAAAATATATAACCTTAATACTTAAAACTTTTTGTTTAAATTAAGAGTTCTACAAATTAATAACGTTCTATCAGTGCCTGTGAGGCGGGGCTTACATCAGTGGTTGCCGCGTTATTAGAAGCAGGCGCTGACGGTCGCTGTCACCCTATCACTCGGTACGGGCCGTTATATGTGGCCTGCTATCAAGGTCACCTGGAAATAGCCAAGCTGCTGCTGGCGCACTTCCCCACCGCTGTTCAGGTCTTTCACTAGAATATTGAATGAAGACAGGACCATCTTAATTATTATTAGAGTCATTTTTTTTTGCAAGCCAGTGTATATATTAGACAACATCACATACATTGCTCAGATTCCAAGATGAGTGGCAAAAGCAGAGTATTAAGGAGTATCAGAGACAACGACGGTACTACAACATCCAGATCTGAGACAATAAGTCCAAAAAAGTCAAATTTCTACATTTAACCGACTGGCAATCTCACCCAACCCGGGATCTCAGATATTGCGATACCTTGAAACCAGCGTGCGGACCTATCGACTACGGGTCACATACATTGCTCAGATTCCAAATTAAGTAGATAAAGAACTTTTGTTAGTGAGACAATATAGAAAAGTTCATTTTGAACCTGGGACCTCAGAACTGGCGACATTTTAGAGTCTCCCGGTCGCTTAGGTCGAATCTGTAGACACAGTTAATTGTCAGACAGGATACAACAAAATAACAAATACATATCTGTACACTATTTTGAACCTTAAATTCAACTTAACATGGTGTTAAGTCGAATACTTACAGAATTTGATAAACTTATATACTATTGATGTTGCGTAACATTTTCTCACAATTTACATTTAAAAACATAAATTTAAAAAGGAAAATAGTCAATAAAATTATTACTAATTTAAATTATTGACAGTTTGATCTTAGCAATCAGTCGGACAGGAAATATAGAGATAAATGCTAAAGACATAATGAAATAATTGAACGTATTGCGATTGTGCTGATGATAAGGAAGTGCTAATTATAAAGGTAGTAAAATTGACATTTCAAAGCTTTTTTGTACTCATTTCAGGCTATCAATTACGGTCAATTTTCTCCAATTAATTGTAAACCTTATATAAACTTAACTTTGAAATTGAATCCAGAAAAGTCCTAAATTGAATACAGACTTTCTCATTTAGTGGAAACGTGATATGTTTGATCACTATTACCGTGTCCAACTACATAATTCTGCCCGTTCTATCCGCATATTATTATCTATTATGTTAATATTACTAACTTTCCGCCAGCGGCTGTGCCCGCGTGGACCCTAGGGAATTATTTAGTGGGATAAAAGTAGTCCTATGTTAATTCAGGCTTAGAATTTAATTTCATAACTAATTTGGAAAATGTTTCATACCATGACACGGATGTATTTAAAATGAAAAACTGAATAGTAAACAATCGTTACTATGGTAACGTTTTAATTCCCTATAGAATTTTTTTTTGGGATAAAATATAGTCTCTACCGCATATTATGTAGCTACCCTTAGGTGAAAGACTTTTTAAAATCAGTCCAGTAGTTTCGGAGCCTATTCGATGCAAACTAACAACCAAATCTTTCCTCTTTATAGATAAAGTGAAAAGATTTGATTGTTTGGTTGCATAGGTTCCGAAAATATAAAACTGATTTTTCAAATTTTATCACCTACAGGAAAATACATCATACGCGGGCGATGTAGCTTATAATTGCAATAACGCGGGCGAAGTCGCAGGAAAACAGCTAATCAATAGCAATATTATAAAGAGGAAAGATTTGAATGCATTAAATTACATTGAATAGGCTCCAAAAATACTGGTCCTATTTTAAAAAAATTTACACCTTCAATAAGCTACGTCATGTTTAATAAACCAATTATTATGTTTTTTCCGTCAGCAAGAAACAGTTGAAAAATGGCTGCCGTTACACGCGGCCTGTATCGGTGGTCACGCTGCTTTGGTCACCCTATTGCTGGAGTATCCCTACCCCCAAGAAATACTTAATACATACTCGTAAGTATTATTAACTTTTTTCATTGTTACAGATGTATCTTATTTGTTTCATAATGTCATTTTAATACTCTCCAATCATTATCAGCCATTTTACGTCTCCACTGCAAGGGCTCAGGCCTTCCTTGTGGATGGTTAAGGAGGATGGGCCATGACCCTCTGGGCTTGCCCAATACGGATTGGAGGGTATAAACGAAATGCAGCGGACAACGGTTTAACGAGCCTTCTGAAGCACGGAGTAACTCGAGATAATATTTTTTTAGTCAGCCATCACGCGACCGACCCTTGCGAAAGTTACTTAACAACAATGATCGCAAGCCGCGGTTCTTATCCACTTATTTATTTATATTTCCTCATGATTTCTGCATATCAATAAGGTTGCTTTTTGCGCAATTCCCTTGTTTCTTTGTAACGTATCTGATGGATAACTTATATATACGTAATGATGTATAGTACAATTGATACATATTATTTACGAGCTGTCTGCCAGCTCTAGGGAACTCTATTAACAAATCGTATAGTAAAGAATGGTAATATTTTAATTCTCTATACAAACTTCCAATGCCATTTTTCATCCCATTATTTAATTGCTGTTATTAAAACATAGCCTATGTTCACCGCATAATTATGATGTAGCTTCCCGTAGAATTGGTCCAAGAGTTTCGGAGCCTATTCGATGCAAACATACAAACAATCGAATCTTTCGTCTTTATAATATTAGTATAGAATATTACATATTTTCAATTATTTTTTTTTATTCATCAAGATTAATGCTTAGTCATGTAATCAAAATTTATTTATATAGATTAGAATCGTTAACATTAATTTTATTTTTACAAATCTTCATTAATAGTCATTCTAGAAAGATACTTTAAAAAATATGGTTATATTACGTTAGTGAGGAGGATGGTCAATACGAGTACCGCGCGGCATTTGACGTCAACGCGCGTGACGCGAGCGGTCAAACCGCACTCTATATAGCGTGTGCCGGTGGGAACATGCCCGTTGTGGAGGCACTCCTCGCGTACACGGTGCCCGCACATGCCGGACACAAGGTATAATTGCTAAAGCGCTAGAACCCTGTCTAAATTACACCCGAGTGACGTCATATGAGAATGGATCTAAAGTTATACAGTCTTATTATAAAACGAAGATTAAAATTAATACTTTGCTTAAACCATTGGCCGCCTAAAATAAAAACCATTACCAAGCAATTTCATCTGTGTCTCTTTAACTACGGGACGTTGGCAGCCTTTTATATATAAATAAAAACACTATGAAAGTCGAGTATGTCCTGTAATTTTCTCTTTATAGTCTAATAATATTTTAATTAAGTCATTTTTCAATCTTGACATCTCTGTATGTATGAAATAAAACATAGATAAAAAGCAGCCCTTGACGAGTTTAATGATTTTGATTTGAGAATAAATGATTTTGATTTGAGACACCATCTTAAAATGGGAAAAACTTTTCTATTGGTCCCTCTTTCTATGTAAACATACATTATAACACATGCACACTCATAAATAATGAGAAAATCATTAAAATGTTCGTAATCTGTTAAGAGTGAAAATTCGTCCGTAACTCCGGAGGTGGATAGTCGTTCCAGCGAAGCAGCCAAGGCATTAAGTCCACAACGCGGCGGTATCTCACTCGGCATACACGCTATAGTGAGCAAACTTACAGGCGGGGGATCAAAACAGGTAGGTTTATTCACTAAATCAAAGGAATGCATGTTTTTATTTATAGTTTAAAAGTACGTAATTTTAATATATTTTAGGATAGGGCTGGAATGTGGTGGTATTATAATAATATCCACTGTATTTCTCTCTCTCTCTCTCTCTCTCTCTCCCACTCCCTCTGTGTACCTTTATTATATTAGTCGTGGAACGTCGTTATTTTATTTTTCAATAGTGACGAATTTGTTTGTGAAAGTGTGGGGTTAGTGTTCTCATAGTAACTTTTATAGCGATACATTAATACGTGTAATATTATTACATGTAATAATGTATCGAACTTTTGAAAAGTTTAATTTTGAAAATACTGTGGAAAACTGGTTCGATTTTTTTGGGATGAAAGCAGTTGAATAGATTAGATGATATACTTACTTCGTTGTAAGCGAGAAACATATAATTATCGAAAATAGATAGATAGATAAACTCGTTTATATGCATCACAATCACTCATGGGCACGATATTAGAGAAATTAATATGAGAAAATTAAAGTAAATTAAATCATAGCATAAACATAATTATGACATATGTAAAATTAATAGTACATTAATAAACATTTAATATTAATATCGACTTATCACTTTTGCTATCTGAGTAAATTAATGCAACTGGTATTCGATTCTGCTGTGTACGTAATAATCTTACATCACAATAAAATCTTAATTGCCTGCATTTTGCCATCCATAAAATCTAATAAGTGCAATGTCTTCCTCGGAAATCAATGGTGACAGATAAATTTATTAGTTAGTGTTTAAGTAACAAGAACTGTGCTATAAAGAGATGCAGTTAGCGGAATTCCCATACTGATATTTCCTCACCTTATGGGTGGTATGAACTAGAGGGCGGACGAGGGATCTCGCGTACGACCCGTGTGCGTGGACGCAGTTGTTGCGGGGGACAGCTGTGTGGGCGTGGCCGTTCGCACCAATAATGCACGTTTGCTACGTGCTCTACTACGCGCCGGCGCAACGCCTGATGCTCCCGCTGCACTAACGCACACACAGGTATTATACTCCTATACAATGTATTATGTACTCTTTTAGTATTCAAACACAAATAAATTATTATTTTCATTATTACATTAGTAATACATCCAGACTTGAGTAATGTGTAGATACCAGTTTCCTACCTCTCACATATTCTCTATTTTATTCATATAAAAATTTGAGCTATTATTATCATAAATTAACGAAATTAATTTATAAACCATTATTAAAGCTTATCATAGTATTTTCCTAACAGATTCTTCCAATAGTCTGTATAAAATTAACATCAATTTTACTTTATTATTATAAACATAAACTCTTACTGCGAGAGCTCGTGGTAAAAATGTGCAAGAGTTTTTTAGCGGTTGATATTTCTATGTGTGGATGTACTATGGGTATATATCGCTCAGTACCCAGTATACTGGAGCATCCGGAGGTGGCGAGGCTCTGAAAAAATGCATTTAAATTTATAATAATAATAATAATATAATAATAATAATTTATTTCAATTCCTTATACATACCAAATTTCAAAAGAATACAAAACAACTTATAATTTAATTTACACGGTATCACGCTGACAGCTGTAGAAGTATGAACTGTGATACAACTGCCAGTGTCTTCCACCCCAAATAAAAAACTTATACAAGTTGTCTACAAAAATTATACCTATGTGATTATGTGTTTGTGTTGTGTTGGTGTGTGTGTATGTTTATTATTCATTGTAATATATACCTGTTTTTATTTATATTTTACTTATATATATATATATATATATATATTTTTTTTTTTTTTTTTTTTATCTATAAGATAATATTTTCTGTTTCTCTGTAATTCAGACCCAGTAACCACTGACGAATTCTTTGCTTACATTTGTACATGGTTAGAGGAAGGATATTATTTACCTTATGCACCACATTATAAATCCTAGAGCCACAGACATAAAATTGACGTCTAGCCAAAGACGTCTTGTGCGGTACACTTGGACCCACATTTCTAACACTCCTCTGGTAACCCTGGGATACTCTTTGGTAGTCAATATCTTTGTGTTTCCGAAGCACCGTGCAAAGAATATAGAGCTTGCGAACTGTCATAACTGAGGATTCTCTGTAAAGAGTAGTCGTGCTATATCTTCGCGGCTTTCCAAGTATAATTTTTAATATAGCTCTTTGCGCTCGCTCAAGGGGAAGCATTGTAGTGATGCCTACACCTCCCCATGCAATGATACAATACTGGAGTAAACTCTGGACAAGCGCCAAGTAAACGCACATCAATGTATCAAGATCAGCTGAACTACGGAGTCGTTTGAAAATAGGAATTAATTTTCTAACTCTACCTACTAAACCTTTAATATGACTCCCCCAATTCAAGTTATCATCAACCGTGAGCCCAAGATATTTTATATTTTGCGAACGCGTGAGCGTGTCACAGTTACACTCATCAATATTCCTACAGCCGTGTAGTCGTACACGAAAGTCGTTTGGTGGTTGCGTGAAGCTACTGGATGAGAAGGTGATATATCTCGTTTTATTTATGTTCAATGATAGTAAATTACGATTTAGCCACTTTGCCACCTCAAGAAGAGCCGATTCGGTATGGATTCTAGTTTGATTCCAATCTGTGCCGTGAATAATTAGAGCTGTATCATCAGCATATGTGATAATTTTGGTGAACGGGAGAGATAATTCACATAGGCTGTTAATGAATATAAGAAACAGAGTCGGTCCCAACACGCTCCCCTGCGGCACTCCAAAAGATATCAGTGCCTCTTTACTTGTATAATTTTCAATTTTTAGGGATTGAGTTCGATTAGTAAGGTAGCTCCTAAACATTTCTAGTGCAACACCACGAATCCCCACCGACTCCATCTTTCCAAGCAAAAGAGGAACAGAAACCGTATCAAAAGCCTTCGATAGGTCAAGAAATACTCCAGTCACTCTTAGGTTATTATCAAGATGCTGAGCAATCGTGTCGGTAAGCAATAGAGTAGCATCTTCTGTAGACTTTTTTTTCATAAAACCGAACTGATTCGATGCAATGATGTTATTGCGTTCCAAAAATTTGACGAGTCTACTATTTAAAACTTTCTCCAAGATTTTTGATATAACTGGTAATACTGAAATAGGTCTGTAGTTTTCGATACAATTCCTGTCTCCAGCCTTGTAAATGGGATGAACAAGAGCTCTCTTTAGAATGCCTGGAAAGACGCCAGTGGTCAAACATAAATTACACATGTATGTTAATGGTGGAATAAGAGCATCTTTAGCACTTTTAATGACTAACGTTGGTATATTATCCAGACCCGCAGCTGAACTATTTTTTAAACAAGTAATAATATTCTCAATCTCTTTACCATCAGTTTCGAACAAGACCATCGAATGACTCGGAGATGTGGTTTTTGTAACAGTGTTATTTTTATTAACCTCGCCCACTGTATCCCTATTCAAAATCTTACCAGCCAGCTTTGCACCAACTCCCGTAAAATAATCATTTACCATGTTAACCGAGCACAGTGGATCATTGTCAAGATCAAGCAACTCAGAAGGCATTTGTGACGATTTCTTTATGTTCGTTATTTTATTGATTGTATTCCACATGCATTTCGGATTATTTTTATTTTTAGAAAGTTCAGTTTTTTCAAACTCAGATTTAACTTTTTTTAGCAGATTGTTACAAAAAGTACGATATCTAATGTAGGTAATGTGGAGGATTTGATTATTTCTATTTAGTTTAGCTTTTTTGTACAATTTGTCACGGTTTCGGATACAACGTACTAGTCCTGGTGTCATCCAAGGCTTTATGCAGCGATAATGATGAGGAACATGTATTTCTTTAGAGTGCACTGCAATAGCCTCTGAAATTGTAGCCACGAGCCCAACAGCCGCAGTGTCAGCGTCAGTACAGTTGTATATGTTAGAAAAATCAGATTGTGCAAGGTCTTTTATAAGCGCGGGATAGTCAATTTTAAGATTAGTTTTAGATAACTTGTTCTTTTTAATTTCACAATGTAGACAGAACACTATCGGAGAATGGTCCGTAACAAGAGAGTCCAAAATGAAGGTTTTTGCACATATGTCAGTTTTAAGCATTACATGGTCAAGACAATTTTCTTTACGTGTAGGCAGAACATGAGCTGCTAAAAGACCATGGTGTGCCATAAAATCCAAGTATTTGTTACAGTTGGAGTCAGTACTATTTGAAGTAATATTTATATTTATGTCACCGATTATTGCAACTGACTTAGTCGATGTTACTGATGATAGACAGAGATCGAGGCTGTCACAAAAATTGTCAATGTTAATAATTGAAGGTGAACGGTAAACAGCAAATATTGCAAATTCATTGCCACAGCTAAGACAAAGACAGTTTGCATCTGAAATTGGAGGTGTAGTAACACTTTGTTTTATTTCAGAGCGGACATACACAACGACCCCCTCATTCTGGTTTTTATAATCAGAGGAATAGGATGTACATCCATTTATTTGTGGTATCACAGTAGCTTTACTTAGCCAACATTCCGTAAGTATAAGTATATCAAATTGGATGCTAATTCTGCTTAGGAGTACCTCAAGAGCATCAAAGTTACAATTTATGCTACGTATATTAGTGTGTACAACTGTTAGCAATTTTCGTGGTGATTTAATAAAATTTACAACACTCTCCGGCGAACAAATCATAGACTCAGATACTTCGATCGAATCAATTTCATTATAGACATTATTAATAGACGTCACTTTTACCTGTGAGACTCAATGGCACATAGACAGATATGCACAGATGTAATACATACAATACATATGTATAATAACCAAGGAATAGAGAAGTGAGAAACAGATAAAATGCCAATATTGCCTTTTTTAGGTTGTACAATAGGTACTTGCCTGCGCAGATCCGTGTATGTATGTAGGAAATAATGATAAATTAATGAAAAGTTAAACAATAAGTTTCTTAAATTGCGATAGTGATTGTTTGAGTTTTTGTGTGTGATTTGTTGTGAAAATAATCCAAGTGCACAGAAGATAGAGATTATTCCACAATATTGAGTAAATAGTGATAAGAGGAGACCCAGTCACTTGTCAGATTTGGACAATAGTTTCTCCAGATCCGCTTCAGAGTTGATGCGACGAGCTGGGGAACCTTCTTTTCTTCGAATAAACACCTTTCCATGTGCAATCCAGCAATAATTGTACTCATTCTTCCTACTAAACTCACGTGCAAGGAAGTATATTCTTCTAGCTGCCTGTGTCAAACATTCAACGACAAAAATCGGTTGTGGTTTCCCGTCGATCTTAATATGGCCTGTGTTTATCATGTTATCCTTATTCTTCCTATTGTAATTTTTCACCGAGGTTAGGATTTTGTCCTTTAAAATCACAGTAGTCAGATCTACAATTATTGTCCTGCTATTCTGATTATAAACCTTATTTGTATGAAGTCGAAAAACATCACGAATTTGGTTTCTTTCCACATTGACATTTACAGCCTCACCAATTTTTTGAACTACATTTATAAGATCTTCTTTTGTTTCATTAGTCTGAATAGGGATATTTCGAATTTCGATGCTCGCCTGCTTTTGAAGTCTCTCAGAGTTTTCAACCCTGGCCTCTAGTGTTTGTATGTAAGCTAGGTGAGTTTTCCTTTCAAATTCCATCTTGGATAGCTTTTGATCAATTTCGTCGTACTTTGCCGACATGAATTCCATTGACTTAATTATCCCATCATTTTGCTTTCGTATATCATTTATACTTGACTGCAGAGTTTCTTGTTGGTTTTTGAACGTCTCTATAGTTTTTTTAAGTTCAGTGATGACAGATGTCAGTTCGTCATCATACTGCCGCTTACGTGCCCGATGTCTGGTTAAAACGTTAGAGCGACTTTCATTCTCGGTGTCAGTGACGGCTGAGCTAGGATTTATGTCAGAGTCGGCACTATTCTGCGAGGTATTCGGAGGTGTCCGTTTTAGCGGCATAGTAAGCAGTTGAAATACCAGGCAGTTAGAAACTCGCTGGATTAAAAATTAGCAACAGCAGTTAGGTAGTAGGCAAAAGCAATGCTACTAGGCGCACAGAAAGCAAAATCACGTACCTCCCACAGCCGCAAGTGATTAGCAACACCCACAGCAGTCAATTGGTCAGCTTCCGTAACGCCCCTAGAGGCGGTCTCAGATTGGCGATGGGCGATACCGTCACTGCCCACAAGTACCAGGAGCAAGTCGTAGATTAACCTCCGATGCGTGCATGCACTCCTATTATCTTTTACTTAATTAATTTTAAAAAGATTTAGAATAAATTAATATACGAAAATAACTATTTGCTTAGAACACGTCTGATCACTTCAGATGTCCGGGGGGAAGGGGATTTCTTCGTAATAGTTAAAAATTAGTAAGAAACTTGTTCTTAATATAAATTGATTAGACCTACAATTGTTGAATGTGCAGACTCAACATGTCTCAGTAATGCTGCGAAAATCAGCGCTAAAAAGGAGTTTCGCAATAGTTGAAATTTGATAAATTACCAAATTATTACAAGTATGCTTAGTAAAGAATAGTTTAGTAAAAAATTAGTGAAACAGATATTTCGGCTATAGTTATAAGTTTGTTTAGCGCCGTCGCCAACCGATATTCCAGCATCTTACTTCTGCAATGGGTAGTGATTTACAATTGTACATCTTAAGTATTTCCACATACTGAAATACCAACTGTAACAAAACTCTTGTACATTTTTTTTACGACCTTCAAGCCTATCTTCAGTGTTTGTAAATGAAATTGTCTAGCGGCTAAATAATAACGTTCTATAGTGGCTTATTTTAAGTTTATCTTCGTACTTATAGCATCGCGAGGGTAATTCAGAAGTTTCCCGCGAGTTGAGGAGACGCTCGCGCAGCGCGTCGGCGGCTACCGTGCAACGTAACAACAGCACCGAGAGTGAGTAGAATCTAAATTCGAAGATTTTATTTCAATAAAAATATTAAAGATGGCGCCAACGGTATTAATTTACAAACAAACACATTTTTAAGTTGCAGATATTTGGTAAAGTATGAAAAATTTAAGCGCACATATTTTGTATACAAGTACCAATTTACGAGTAAACTGTGTTTGAATAGATAATTAGTAAGATTTAAGATTTCAGAACGGGAATGTTTAAAAGCATACCAAAAGCAACCCTAACCATAATGTCATTTAAGTTCATATCGTGATCAATATGGCACTTATAAAAATCATTAATTCTTTTCACTATTTCGTAGAGAGTGAGTAGGTACCAGGCGCCTTCTATTTGTAGAATATGATATCAAGAGCATGAGTTTAGGGAACGCGTTGGCTTCCTCTATGGTCTTTGTACATAGCTGTCGCCATCTAATATAGAAATAAGGTAACAAAAATAGCGATTTTCATGATCTACTTATATTATAAAGTGGAAATATTTCATTGTTTGGCTCCGAAACTACTGGACCAATTTAAAAAGTTCTTTTACTTACAAGAAGCTACATCATACGCGGCTGACATAGGCTATAATAGAAGCTGACAAATTTGCCGAAAAACAGATAGTGACAATATAAATTATAAATTGTTTCATATTTCAACTAGTACTTTAAACGTCTGGTCTGTAACAAATAGATTGTGAGCGTTGGTCTGCATTGGGTCTGGCTGCCCGTATGGCTTTGGTCCCGCTCGCGGAAATGTTACTGGAGGCGGGTGCCAGTGACGTCACGGGACATGCCGCCCGTCAGGCTGCCGCTGCATCACAAAACGCTCTACTAGCCAATATACTCGCCACCAAGGTGATTTTATGTTAACTACTACGTTACTAGAACAGATCCATGTATCAAGTATTTTACAATACTAGGCGATTACACGATTTTCTACTCTATACTTAAAAATAAGAGGTTACATATCTGCGTCACGCTCTGTTTGTATTTTTTGTTATTTCACAATTTGCGACTTAACATTATAGGAGTTTGATTCTATAAATAGGTAAGTGTAACACTAGAACGTAAAGGAATTAGAGGAATAGACATTTGGGGTAATGCGTAAAATTATTTGAACTAAGTTAGGTCCTATTTTATTTGTATGTAAGGCTTCCAATTATAAAGCGGCGTCTTGAAACTGAAAGTGGATTAGGTAATTGGATCGAATTTCAGATAGTACTAGGTATGCATTCACTATTAAATTTGCACTAGCCAGACATAAACATATTATTTGAAATGAAAAAAAAACCAAAAGCATACCGAGCATAAAACTAAATACAAATTGTCTGTACATGCCGCGCCCGGTATTGGTCGGTGATTGAATGTTCTAGTATGTGTTGTTACGCTCTATTCTGAATGCCTATGTTAATTTTTTTTTGTAAATGGTATTATGCGACTTAAATATAGTTATCGCATGCAGTTGATGAGATATATTAGACCGCATATTTTGTTTCCGTATCTGATACGTTAACGCCTTGGTCTTGCATGGTATAATCGAAAAAGCCGCACTGATGAATTTATTATCAACGTTAATTTTTATACTTCTAAAAAAATAATAGCCTTATCTGTTGCAAAAATTCTTAAATAATCCACTATGTCCCTGAAATTTGATAAATATTTTCATTATAATATATATAATGAAAATATTTATCAAATTTTTGTTTGTGGCCCAAAATTTGATTTAGTTTGTTTAAAGTTTGCATTGCGTATTATGAATGATAAATTCTGTTTTGTTTCGTAAATTATAGAAAGAACGAATGTCGCGTGCGCACATGGCTTGCTGCCTAATTGATTTGAGAGTTTACCAATATTTATATGTTTTCAGAGACTATTTCAGATTATGAACTTTGTAAAATGCAGTTAGCACATATGTATATATTTAGTGTTCTGCTACACCTCTTGCGCTGCTTGACGACCCCCGTAGCAGAGTAGTTCGCACACTGGTTTCAAGGTGTTGCCAACTCTGAGGTTCCTGGTTCGATTCCCGGGCGGGTCAATGTAGAAAATTATTTTTTCTATTTTGTCTCAGGTTTGGGTGTTGTGGTACCTTCGTTATCTCAGATACTCCATAATACGGGTCCTTTTACTACTCACCTTGGAATCTAACCAATGTGTGTGATGTCTAATATTTATTATTATTACTCTTTATTGCACTTAAAATTTTACATAAAACAAGTAAATAAATTTGTTACAAAGGTGGGCTTATCTCTAGGAGTCGTGGGAGAGTAAGATGTAAGCGGGTGATAGAAGTGCAGTTAAATTATATTACGGTTGGAAAAAAAAAAAATATATATATATATAATAAATAACAAAAATAGATATATATAATACATAAAATATACACTACATATATACATACATATATAAGGTACGATGAAAGCTGTGTCATGAATACGAACATTGTTCCAGAAAGTAGTCTTTAAGTTTAAATTTGAAACACATGATGGAAGGGCAGTCCTGAATATTCAAGGGAAGTCTGTTCCATAGTTGAACACCACGAACAGAAAAGGATTTGAGGCGGAAATTGGTGTTACATTTAGGTAGCTCAAGAGATTTGGTGACGCAGGGACGCCTAGGATGGTAAGGAGGAGGAAGCTTCTGGAAACGGGAACTAAGGTATTGGGGTGAATTAGGATCTTTAAGGATTTTAAATAGGAATGAAAGGATGTGCATATCACGGCGAAGACGGATAGGAAGCCAGTTCAGTTGAGCACGAAAAGCAGAGACATGGTCGTATTTACGTAGTCCAAAAATGAACCGAATTGCAAGATTCTGAAGACGCTCAAGCTTATTCAATTGATCTTCATTCACATCTAGATAGCAAATGTCAGCATAGTCGAGAATGGGAAGCAGAAGAGATTGCGCCAGCATAATTTTGGTTTTAAAGGGAAGAAAAGATTGGAGTCGCTTGAGAGAGTGGCAAGAGTAGTGTATTCGTTTACTTACCTCAGCAATTTGCGGAGACCATGATAAAGTGCTATCCATAATCAAACCCAAGTTTTTTATCTTATCAACGAATGGAATTGGTATTCCATTGTATAAAATTTGAGGTGTACAATCCCACTCAAGTTTACTCTTCAGTCTGCTACTACCGACAATCATGGCCTGGCACTTTTCTGGATTGACTAAGAGACCATACGAAGTAGCCCATTCCTGTATAGAAACAAGATCCCTATTTATAGAAGCGATGGTGTCCAGAGCATCGGGGATGGAAAAGTGTTTATAAATTTGGAGGTCATCTGCATAGAGATGAAAAGGAGAAGAAATAGCGGAAGAGATATTGTTTATGAATATGGAGAAGAGTAAAGGTGAGAGAACTCCTTGCGGTACACCAGCTGACAAGTTCAGCCACTCAGAAGAAGCATCATTGAATATTACGCACTGAAAGCGATCGAAGAGATATGATCTGAACCAATCAATCACAGGTGTGGAAATGTTAAGCGAACGGAGAACACCAAGCAGAATATCAAAGTCAACACAGTTAAATGCACTGCTGAAATCCAGTAGAACCATAGCAGTAAGTTTGGTATTGTCCATAGCAAAACGAATATCTTCCGTGATGTTCAGCAGCGCACCAACCGTGCTATACCTTTTAAAATTTTAGATTTAGTTAAGGTTTAAAATAATCGTTATGAAATAATTTTACTGTTAGTATAAAGTTGTCAACACTGTTCCATAAAGAAATTTTTAATAGTTTGTAATGAAGGCGAGTCGGGAGTCGCATTAAATCGATGATTGTTATTGAAATATTTTATTCGATGAATTGACGATTAATTCACTTTTTCCTGTTGAAAATGATAGAAAGGTGGGTTATTGATAATATAAATGATAAATGAGTGGAGTATGATGTGTTTATAAGTATTTAAAAAAGTGTATAGCAGATAATATTCAAAACAGAGTCTAAAATAATGTTATATGAGTAACCGTATCCGTAATCGACATAATATTACTGTTATATCCGTATACAAATCCATAACGTCCCGGTTGTGAGCGATCTGATATCTCAGTTGTTGTCCAGGCGTATCCCGACCCGGACTATAAGCTGGACAAGTCGTCTATATCAGGCGCGGTGCTGAACACACGTGCTGGAGACTCGGCTCTGACTTATAGCGCTCGCTGCCCCTCTGTACCCGTGATGGTCACGTGGCGAGATCTACGTTGCCATCTGGCGGCCGTAAGGTGACTGACATTTTGATTGTTAAATAATGTCCAAGTCAGTAGTAGTCTGATAATTATCGGTTTTACTTTTCTTTAGCTTTGATTTCGGTTTGAAAAGAATATTTACAAGAAATTCTTATTCACAAAATTGAAGGCCTTAGGTCCTATCTATTATTTGATCGACAACTTGCCTGCGAAAAGTTTTAGTTACATTAGCAGTGTTTCGCTCTTTCGTTTCTATCTTTGTAAATCGGTTGTGTTCAATAAAACTATTTTATACTACGACTCTTAAGTTTTATGTTTGAATTGTGACGTCAAAATTTATATGTACATTTTTTTACTTTGTTAAGACTTAATTTATGGATGATCAATAAAAGATTTTGCTATAAAAGCCTAAACCGTCATATGGTTTTATTGGTAATTGTTATGTGTATATTACTACCAGAATGTCGTGGATCCGAGCAGCGGCGATGCGTGTGAACCCAAAACTGGTGTCTCCTGCTGGTGCTTTACTAGCGTTGACGCGTATTGATGTCGCTAACAATGAGCTGCGATCACTTCCACCGGATTTATTCACCCTTATGTCCCTTAGGTAGGTTGATCTCGATTCTCGTCTACATTTTTTTTTTATTTTAAGTGACTTTATGAGGCTGTCCGGTTTTAAGTCTATTGTGTTATCATTAGATGGAATACAAGAAGGCTTTTAACAAAGTAAACTAAATACTGTTGAAAAAAAAATACTTATTATTGATATTAAGTGTATACAAGATTATTATCGTAAATACTTATTATACGGCATCGGTTAATTTTTAACAGCGAAATGTTTGCTACAGGTGTACCTTAGGGTTCTACTTTAAGTCCTCTTTATTTCATAAATTATGTTAGTGATCATTTTAATAATACATAGGTACTTGATGAATAACGACGTCATTCAATCGACTTTAGAGTTTTGTAGCTCGGAAGGAAAAAACAAAACCCTTATAGGATCACTTTGTTGTCTGTCCGACCGTCCATCAAGTCATTTTAACTCAGGAACGCGTGGAGGCATCAAGCTGAAATTTATATCAAATACTCAGGTCTACTGTCTCTTGGAGCTGTCCAAAAATTAAACTATAAGCCAACGCAATCAAAAAATACAGCCGTTTATGCCGCAAATTTTCTCAATTTTCGAAACTTGCAAGAGAATCATAACCTATAGTGTACTTCCTGTGAACTCAGAATCTTGAAATTTGATACGAAACAACGTCTTATAGCACAGATAAAGGTAAAATTGCGAAAACAATAAATTTTTATTTACATCATATAGTAAAAATATTTTTAATAAATACCTACAGGTTTGTACGGAACCCTCAGTGCGCGAGTCCGAGTCGCACTTGACCGATTGTATAATCGGCCAAGTGTCTGTAAAACGACATTAAATTATTTGGTATTAAAGTCGTAAGATGGCGTTATACCTTTTTAGATCTCGCTATCATTTGTTTTCTTTGGAATGATATAAGTTTATGGTGAGTTTAATTTGTCAGCTATCCAATAAATCCTGTTGTGTACAAAAGTTGTTTCCTTTTTGAAGTACACCCTCGAATTGGACTTTCATAACCGAAGGTTGTTCAGTATCATAAGTAATATTTTCATATATACATTATTAATTATTAATAATATAATAATAATGTTTTGTTCACTATTTAGGTATCTAAACGCAGCACAGAATAAATTAGAGAAATTGCCCCGCGAAGGGGATCCATTCGAGGAGGAACCGCCTAAAGGGCGCGGAAAACGAGTACGACCCAAAGTTTACAGCGCACCTGTATTGCAAGAACTTTATTTGCAGGTATGATTTTGCATATAATAATCATTATAATCATTCCCTTTTGAGGAAGAGCAGAACTACGTCCAACTAAGAGATAAGATAAGAGAGATAAAAGTTAATTTGAAAGATAGTGTAAAAGTCGTAATTAATCCGGATGTTTGAACATGTGGATATAACGTCGGATTTAAGAATAGCTAAACCGATATAGTGAAAGTGGAAAGACGGAAAATCATAAGATAAGAAAATATGTCTCTAAATATCAACTGTATTGAGCTTTGTGTCCACTAACTTCAGCCTCAATTACCTAATTATCTTAATATTAAATAAATTAGTATTAAAAAAAAGGCCGTTTTGTTCATTGTCTTTATTTTTATAACCGTCTGTCAGGATAACAGACTGGAGGAGATTCCTTCGTCTCTATTCAGTCTGCCTTCATTGCAAACCCTCGACATATCTAACAATAAACTGCGTGCCCTTCCTGCCGCCATGTGGCGCGCTCCCGCATTACGAGATCTCTCCGCCGCACTCAATCATCTGCGCAACCTACCCACGTACGAGGTTAGTTGTACACATCAATCAGTTCACATATACACAAAACAGGCACATTGTCATACACATATAGAATGTCAGATACAGATACACAGTCATATAGATACAGTGTCAGTTATAGATATAATGTCAGACAGAGAAACACAATCAGGCACTGACCCAGAGTTCAAAATATACATACTGTCAGACACGGGATCAAGTTTAGATATGTACACACGACTACGATACAAATACAAAATACACGGTAGTGAACCTGGTGCTCTGATCAGAAACAAAATTACGATTAGACACGATAACACATATACTAACTTTGACACAAATGAACAGACACAAATACACTCTCACGATCGGAAAAAACTTTCAGTCATAATTTTATTATTTATTTAATCATGTCTAATCCAATTCATGGTGTTGATGTGTTCCATTAACATATACAGGGCCAAGAGTGTGGGAGTCCATTACCACAGTCGCCTTGCGATGTCACGCCGTCCGCAAACAACTCCAGCTCTGAGCAAAGTGTGGACGCAACTGTATCTGTGAGTTGTTATGATGTATTTCATAAATCGATATTAAATTTGAATGAATAGGCTTACGATATGAACTAAGGCGTCGATTTGGAATTTGATTTAAAAAAAAAAAGCATTGAATGGAGATAGCCAAAAATTAATCGGACATGGCGTTGTCGTAGCTTCTGCCTTCGTATAGCCCAATCAAATAAGCACAAAAAGGATAGCCAATCAATTACAACATGTATTATTAGAGCCATAAGTGTCAATTCAGGTACACCCTTTACTATTTACTACCTGAAACTTTTTAAAACTACGCGGTCTCGACCATTATTTACATTATTTTCGTGTTTTCATATCTTCATGTATTTTATGACAGTTGTCTTCCACATTAAGAATCATAAGTCAAGCTTGTCCGAATTGTTCTACAATTAATTTAAAATATTAATACAATGTCTGTTAAGTTCAAATTTGACTGTGGAAAATTGACATTTTGTGGTGATATGATGTGTTATTATTGTTATAATATGTAACAATTTCGAACTCCTGAAATCTGTCAAATCTACAAAATTTCATTTTAAGACTAAACTATGAATTATAAAGGTTATGCGTTTAATGTTCATTTTTATTTTAAAACATCAATGGGGAAGTATTTTAAGAAAAAATGAAAGTATTTTAAAGTTTGTTTTTGCAGGCAATTAATGGACCAAAGATAGTTTTTTCCGTTCCTTTTAACAAACATATTTAAAAACCGAACCTTTGATATCAATACAAATACGAAATAGTACAAATAAAATATAAGTTGTTTATTGAGTTTTGAAAATTAATTTACTTTTATACATGAAAGAAAACCAAAGCGTTGTCATGGAGAGACCAAGAAAGTAGCGACATCAAGTTTGATTTTAGGAACTATTTTTTTTTTATATACTTCCTCATTGTCTATAAATATATTTTTTTATTGTATTAAAAAAGCATCATATCTTAATTGAATTGATTAAACTGTTATTTTACTTATTAAAAGAAACTTTTGAAGTAGCTTGATAAGTTGATATGTCTCGGTGTCCAGCAATCGTCTTCTCGGAGTCCATCAATAGAACGCAGTGAATGCGAGCTTCTGGATGATGACGATGCTCCCATAACCATCGGCAACCGAACTGAGAATACAGTGTAAGTTGTATTGTTTATGTTAAGCTCACGCACCGATGTCATTAGTTTTGACTGCCGGAAGATGACGCTAGTATTTTAATTGGGTCATATTTTTAAATCAATGAAAATTTCCATATAATAAAAACGAAACGTAGTCTTCACGTCCGTATAATTGTTTCGTTAAAGTCCCGGTTGTGTCTTGAAACTTTATTTTATATCACAGAACAATCATTCTTTTTATATTTAGAGATTATTTTGTTTTCTATTTCTATGGTCATATGATTTGAATGATTTGTTATATTTAAGATTACTGACATGATTAATTTTTGGGTACACCTTTAATTTTAAGAGGTGTATCAGAACACTTCATATATTATACATGTGCATATTGGTGAAATCGCAAATTAATTAGACATCGCATGCGTACGCGACATTAATTCTATTCACAGTTTACAAAACAGAAGATAACGTTAATTCATAATTCGCAATTGAAATTTTAAACAAATTAAGTCTTATTTTGAGACACAAACAACTTTAACATTATACTGTACATATTTGTTACTGTATTTTTTAAATATATATAAAATTACGTTGTTTATGTGTGTGTGTAAATCAAAATATGGTTCAGTTTCATCTTGTGAAGGATGGGCAAATTTTACAATTACGTTTACTTAAAAATAAGTATGTATTATAAGACATTTCCATTGAAATCACTCAAAATGTGACACAGATGTTCGGCAGCAAAACGTGCGCACGAGTGGCGTGGAGAGGTGGAGCCAGAGGGTGGTGGGGGTATCGGCATGGGTGGTGGGGAGGGAGGCAGCAGATTACATTCGCTCAATCTCTCTCACAATCAGTTCACTTGCGTGCCCCCGCCCCTCGCGTGCCTCGCCCCTTCGCTCGCCCGCCTCAACTTAGCGTACAACTCTTTACGGTAAGTTGTAAATAAAAAAAGTCGCTACAACTTATATGGATACTTAGATTCTCCTTTATTGTACAAGATCAGGTCATCGAGGAGCTAAATGGTGCGGTGGTTAGCGGTAGGCACGATAAACAAATCTCGCACCGCAAACGCGATGAAACCGTTTAAAATTTCTTTCATTTATATGATACGTTTTATAAAAATATTTAAGTAATAACTATCAACTGAAAAAAAAGATCTTCGGTTATATGTTGTCGGTAAATAGTAAAGAAGTAGATACATATTTAAAACAAGTATGTTAACTATTTATAATATATCGACAATTCTCTTATAATAATAATAATATATACAAACAAATATAAACCTCTCTCTCTCTCACACACACTCACACACACACTTACATATACTTACTTAGTCATGCACGTAAATTCAAACATAGTATGCACGAAAGTTTGTAACCATATTTCTTTCTTTACATTCCTTATGATATTCCAACTTGTTTTTACTTAGTACCTATCTAAATCTTGAAATGTCATTGGGGAGATACTAGATTCTATAATACAGATAAAACTAGCTTAGAAGTCAGGGCCTTATATAATTGGTATTTATACAAAATAAAGGAATTATTGTCATTATTATTTTCCTTGCAGTTTTGTATCAACCTGAATTCAACCTACTCCCTGTGTTTTACTGTTATTCGTTTTATTTATTGAACACAGATCTATGTCATACGTAACATCTTATCCGACTGGTCTGCGGCAACTCGACCTCAGTCATAACGAGATCACTTGCTGGCCAAGTCTACCGCAGGTAATACAGCACACTATATAATAAATAACTTACATTACAACAAAGATTACTCGCCCTTTATTATGCAATAAGTCAATAAGTATACAATAAGTTTGAAGTCGCGAGCTCTTATTACTTTGTGAAACTAAGTAATAAATTATAAAGCTGCATTGAAAACTATTGTTATGGAGCGCAGCGGTGCGATATTTTATCTATCCGTTACTAGATTGTATTACGTGTCATTTAAATCACGCTAACACCGTCGAAACTACGTGTCTGTGAGAAAGGGACAGTCACTGAGAAAGAAAGGGACGGGCACATTTTAGTCCAAGTATTGACATTATTACACATGACAACGACATGTACATATGTGCGCGGCATATCTATTTAAAGCTAGATGCTACTTATTGAATCATAGTAACAATAGTAAAATGATATAAGCAATCCTTTAAGAAAACCCTACACGCTATCTCCAAACTTCACAGAAACGTCATTGAAGAGGTACAAATATAAATAGATAGCATCAAAGATATCTCAAACTTTTTAGCTCTTCTATTTAAATGGGCAGGGTAGGCAACATAGATCATAGCTGATGGCTAGTCAAAACTGGCCTCGTGTTGTGAGCTCTTATAGTCGGATTGTAAATGGCAAGAAATCAACAACTTACGTTTAATTTTATAGTGCATATGTTGATGATGTTTGTACATTTTTATATTGCTACAATTTTGTCAGGTGGAGTCCTTCGGTTGTAATGAGGGCGATCCCCTCTCTTGTTACTGCCCTAATGGCGACGGTAACAGTGGTAGAATAAGGCCTCGTTCTGGAGGGTCAGTGCGTGCCCAATTACTTACCGCGGCATGTCCAGCTAGGAGACATCTCAGACTGGAAGGGCTACGGACACTGGTAATATACATTTTTATTTATTACTAGCTGTTTCCCCGCGATATTGCACGCGTAAATTATAGACTGTGTCAACCCCGTATAATGTAGCTACCCTTACGTGAAAGAGTTTTTAAAATCGGTCCAGTAGTTTCGGAACCTATTCGATGCAAACCAATAAACATACAATTAAACAAACAAACAAATCTTTCTTCTTTATAATATTAGTAGAGGTACAGCATGTACCCTCTGTCTGATACCTGAAAGCGTCATTTGATATTGAGTTTGTATTCTATCCCTGTCGTCGTTTTTATGAAAGAAGTAAAAATAAAATAGAATTTTTAAAATGGAGTAAGTTGCGTGAGAACACAGGGATCCGTGTTGCGCGCACGCAGGCAACGTAAATTTGGTTATGTCACACTTTAAAAAAATTTAGAATTTGGGATATTGGTCAAATTGCGAATTTCACATAATTACATGTAACGTGCGCAACAGGTAAATGTCCGCGTAGCGAGTAATTTATATATATTTAAAAAAAAGGGGGTTCTGATCTCACCCGATAAGTGTTTATGTTATGTATGTTTGGATATAGGTGGCGACACCCTGAGTGTCTTCAACGCTACTAATCTGACTCACATTGCTTCTTGTTCTTAATTTCATAGAGATTTAAACAGAAACTGCCTTAGTTGATTCTAATTCGATTTTTTATTCTTTCATATTTTATTTGTACATGGAATCGGCTCTGACAGCGTTTTTTAACAATAACACTACACATTTTTCATTCATAATGCTATCTTGATATTTATCTACATAATTCGATAATATTTTACAGATTTTGTCAAACAATCTTTTGACTCGCATCCAGTTGACTACGGACGATGACGACAGTTTCGATCTAGAGCCTAAACGGGATTCATCGGACGACGAATGGGTATGTAAGACACTACACTTTTTAAAATATTCTTTCGTAAAAAGAAAATTTCTATTAGTTCAACATTTTTTCACTCAGCACTACCGAATTCGGAGAGACGATGCTTCTTTTGTTTGGTAAGATATATTTTTGAATAAGAATTCGCGGAATAAATTAGCCCTATACATTTAATAACAATGAACTGCATACTAGCCGTTGGCTTCAAGTTGACCGTGGACGACCGTTACTAAATGACGTCATTGGCATTCTCCACCAGTCAACCGGTTAGGATTAACAGAATATTCGTAAGGCAGTGTCATTGGTGAAGAATTAAAGAATCGATAAAGTTGAAATATAGATATACTAATAGATACTAATACACAAACATACATAAATAAATATATATACACATAAGAAATATCTAAATAAACATGTCAGATTATGGTATTAAGAAATACGGGTACATTTCAGGTAGTATTCTTGTACTGTTCTCTTGAATACTAACAAATTCGGTGCATTTCGACCGTCCAAAGGTAGTGCATTCCATACGCGTAAAGCAGTGAAAGAAAAACACTTGGAAACAAACATAGAACGATAAACAAAATTAACTTTCCACCAGTTAAATTTGGGAATTGATATCCTGTATCTAAAGATTATGAAACTTGGTAAAACAGCTTTGTGTAATGAAACTACTAGATACACGTTTTCACGCCACCGCGTCGAACTATAATGCCCCTAACACTAGCAACTACCTTACAAAAATACTAGTCCAGTCTTTTTTTATTAAACCAACACAAATTCCGTTTCCGGATAAGTGACAGTATTTTATTTTTTTAGTTATTAGTACTGTTCTGTGAATTGATTAATTTTATAAATTAAAAACCATATTTTATAATTGCATTCTTATTATAAGCACATTGACGGTTAAAAAAAGACAATTGCAAGGTAAAATCTCATAAAAATACCTACATATTTAAAGATTTGTGTTTTTCTTGTAATTCCAAGATATTTTCTTGTGTCTCGGGTCTGGGTGATTGTAGTACCTTCGTTGTTTCGTACTTCCATAACACGCATGCTTAAGCTCAATATGGGAGAGTCCTTAACTTTTTTTGTTTTACCACTAGGGCTCCGGTACATGCATCAAGTCTCGTCTTGTGTTCCCGCTGTTGTCCATGTTGGACGTATCGTGCAACATGTTGCGTAACATTCCGCCCGGTATACATGCACTCGCCAATCTCGCAGTACTCAATATTAGCGGCAATAAAGGTATATATACACCATATATTTGTATAACTTTGTATCGTGTATTTAGATTGAACCAGCAAGTGACTCTTTTAACATTTGAAAACGAAATATATTTTTTAATTTAATCAATAATTTAGTTATTACACGTTATTTAAAGGTGATAATAACTAAATTATTCACTGTATTAAATATCTTTCGTTCTTAAATGTTAGAGAGCCACTCTCTAAATGATTGAAATATTTTACCCTGCAGATTTTATTCATACATTGATATCACCTATTGATTTAAGTAAAATACATACATATACTTTGTTATTAAATGCTCGTAAAGAGGCCACGAAAATGGTAATTTCGTTATCTCTTAAGCTTTTTATTATTGTTATTCATATGACTCATGCGCTTGCGCAGACATAACGGAGCTGCCTCCACAAATGGGCCTTCTATCACGTCTATGGAACTTGAGCGCTACGGGATGCTCTCTGCAAGAACCATTACGGTCTATGCTAAGAGCTGGTGGACGTTGCCGATCAGCTGACGTTGTGTCATATCTCAAGTCCGTTCTACACGAAGCCAGACCATATCCTAAGCTAAAGTTAATGATTACTGGACAACAGGTAAGCTAACAGATCTCCCCGGGACCGCGTTATGATCCGGTAGCTAGTTGTCTAATTTAAATTATCTACCATCATAGGGAATGCCTGAAGCCCATTGTTGGGTCCAGGCGTTCTCTATGGACCATGGCCCATTCTGGCCCAGTGCGGCGGATTGGTGAGTATTAACGATTACATATACAGCCGCTATCGCTTAACGTGGTTTCCGAAGGAAGGAGCTTAAAATAATACATTTTTGGTCACGCATTGTATGACGAAAGTAGCTTAAAAACTGTATCGCATCGAGTTTAATTAATTTTAAATATCTATTACCATCCCTTTAATAAATTGAATAAACGATATCGCTATTTAACGTTAATTGGAATTGTTTGAGTTAAGCGTTAGAATTAAATATAACTTTAAGTTTTTATTGTCTCTTGATTGTTCAAATCGTCATTTGTTTTAAATGTCATTGCTACAAAAATCACTATCACAGTCACTATACGTTTGCAAGGGATTGAGATAGATTTTAAAATTAGAGAATTGGGCCACAGGTCTCTTACACCATAGACGATTGCCGCTGTGATCTCTTTCTGTATTTGAATAATTTTATGTCAAGAAGTCAGAATGTTTTGTAAACCGATTTTTTCAATGTGGTATACATTTGATAAATTTTATGTACATTGCTATGACAGGGTATAGGCAAGACCAGTCTTCTCGAATGTTTGCGTCAAGAATCTGCCATACACCACCGCAGGAAACCCACGGAGGTATGTAAACTGTATCAGGATAAATGTTTTATTATTTAACAAAATTCATTTTATGACACTTGTCTGGAAAATATTACGCTTTGAAAAATTGACAAAGTAGGGAAAATATATTACTAAAATACATACGATATTAAATTAGTTATATTAAACGTAACAACTTTCAACATGACAGCTATAAACATAAACACATGATTTACCAAGATATTACAAAGATCGCAGACCCATACATTTTGCGCTACCATTACACTGTGTGACGTCACTTAGTGCCTTGAATTTGTAGGGAACGTTTTCGGCCGACTGCGTGTATGTCGTGCAGTTTGTGTGTAAAGAACTAAAGTACATACAAATTTATAAATTTCCACATAACTACAGAAAAATCAACTAATAACGCACGTCGTGAATCATCGTTTGCGTTGGACTAGAACTAGATCTACCAATACCGATCATTACGGTATGATAAAAAATTATAATCAATCTTATTTAGATAACTATAAGATAAAAAATACAACACAGTATGATTCCATCTCACTCACACTCGGTGGAGGTTATGCGCATGGAATCTAAACTTCTACGTTGTACATCTGTGAAACTTCTTAACTGCAATAAACGAACGAATGTAATGCCGCTTTTTACACCAAATGTAATAAAGGAGGCATTCAAAGAAAAGATATAAGTATTATTTTTAATACCACGAAAGGGATACGGCGTGAAGATACATTTATAATGGTCCTGTATAAATTAGTTGAAGTATGATATTTTTTTGTATAAATTAGCTGGCTGACGCTGATTTAATACGATCAAAATCTAATTTTAATAGCCGCCGAATCTAGACAGTGTCCTTACCGTGTAAAAATGTAAAAGTCATATAGTACATGCATTTATAGCCCTTTTATTTTTTTATATTTATGAGTATTTTCTTGCCCAGCACTGGGCAAAGCGTATGGGCAACAAGGGCAGTCGTCGCAACTTGTCCACCGTGGGCGTGGACATAGGCACTTGGGTGTACGAGAAGCAACGGTCCACGCGTGGACCTGTCACCTTTAGAACGTGGGACTTTGGAGGACAACAAGAGTGAGTGTTGCTATATTATTTTACACAAGCGGGCGGTTGTACAAACGTCCGTTAAGATTTAATGGCGCCTTCAAGCTCTAATGAATGTTAATTTTATATCGGTAATGTCGCTTTAAATAATGACAATTTTAATGGACATTTGTGCAACTGGCTGAAGGTATATCAGACAGCAAATATAAAAAATAAGTGACAAAAGTCATATTCAAATAAAAAAAATATACAAAAACACTTATAAATTTTTAAACTTTCGCGTCAATACCCATCTTATACAATCTAATATAAAAACACTTGTCTAAAAAGAGGCTGGCAAAGCTGTAGCCAACACCCCCAATGCCAACACAACAAGACCGCGTGCTGGCTCGTTGCCCATTCTCATTATTCCATTTCATTGGATTCCATTCATAGGGAAGACCTGAGCCCCAACGGTGAAGATATTAATCGACTGGTTATATGTATGTGTATTTAATTATTATTATAAAATATGAGATTATAAATCGATGTTTATTTTAAAGGTAATAATGTGTGGATTTATATTTATTTTATTATAAGTTTAACTTTTTCATCTCTTAATCTGTTAATGACCCAATTTTATTTAAATTTCCTTAATACATTCACAGATATTATAATACAACAATAATCTGAAACATGTTTTTTTTTTTATTTAAACATATTTACTAATTTAGTCAGCTTAAGTAAACAGTAAGGTGCTGTTGAAAATTGCGCGTTGTTTCTGTTTTCAAGCTGATCTTAGCTGATACAGCAAGAAGGTACTGCTGAAGATATTGTGATGTATTTTTTTTTTATTGTGACTAACATAATACCTCTTCTGATAGGTACTATTCCACGCACCAGTACTTCTTGTCACGTCGATCTCTGTACCTAGCCGTGTGGCGAGCTACAGACGGACGGAAGGGGCTAGAAGGTGCCATATCTTGGCTCAGGTATACGAATTGAATACAATTATAAGATTCACATCGAAATAGCAGTAGCTAACAGCTTAGTAGCTACCATATTACCTTTTAAATGGCTTATTCTTATAGCGAATTAAATATACATAGTATCGCATGAAGGTTATAACAACTCTTTACTTTGGCTTATGCAATAATACTCGCTGCAATTTTCCAAGCAATATTATATTATTTAATAAATGTATAAACACTAAAATACAATTAATTTATTCTAACTTGTCGTAATGTACCATTTTTTTTTGTTAAAGATTAGCACCAAAAATCCAATCATTATCAAAAGGCAAATAGATAAACCGATAGGGAAACATGATTCCTAACTTTCACGCTAGACGAACTATTTAGTGTAGGCGTTGATGTTGGATGTACATTTGAATATATTTTTCTCACATACAAGGTCTATACAAGCTCGCGCTCCGGGATCTCCTGTCATCATGGTGGCGACGCATTACGATCAAGTCGCTAACGTGAGTATGAGACAATTACTATTTACAGTACATTAGGCTCTAGTCGCTAAATTTGTATAGGCATATAAATATTAGATATTTCTCTCATAACCGAAGTTAAATAGCTGAAGAAAGTTGAAAACTTGTAGATAGACAACGAAAATATCGAATCAGTATCTCAACCATTCAGACCCAAGATTACGTAGAAATTTCGTTTTCTTGATTGATGCGGCCCAAATGTAAAAGTGGAATCTCCGTATTAAATTGACTGAGGTGGTTGTTGAATGTCTAAAACACTTAACATGTCACCTATAGCAACCTCAATGGTATGCAATGTCGTTCCTATACCGAATTTAGCTAATTCGATATTAAGATAAGATATTCTTCGATATTAAGCTTACACAGTATAGTATGATAAATGTTTTTTTTTAATAATTCTTATATATACTGTAGAATCAAATATATCTAATTTACAAGAACATATGGTATGATTAGGATCTGATAAAAATATATCTGCTAAATTCTTCCATCACCGAGTTTTATCCATATTAACATTTATCCATATCAATAAATAATAACTGCAAAAATGCAGCTTTTCAGGAGACGAAAGAAACGTTTCAAATCAAAATATCAGTTATTATTTATTGACTCTTCATGGGCATTTGCATTTGATATTGACATTTCTGTTCATTTCTATACAGTGTAATTTACCGGAGAGTGAAAGTCCTGAGGCATTGCAGCGACTCATAAGGTGTAACATTATGGGAGCTGCCGACGCAGATAAACGGGGATTACCACGAGTACTAGACTCTATAGAGGTAAGGAGGACTAATTAAAAAAGGAAGTCTTTTAATTATTAATTAAATTGAGTTCAGTTAACTTTAACAAAGTAACCGTGGGAGAGCCACGCTTCGGCATGAGTGGGCCGGCTCGACCGGAGTGATACCACGGCCTCACAGAAAACCGATGTGAAGCAACGCTTGCGTTGTGTTTCGTCGTGTGAGTGAGGGTACGGGAGGCCCAACCCCTCCCTATTCCCTTCCCTCTACCCCTCAACCCTTCCCTCTAAGGCCGGCAGCGTGCTTGTAGCCTCTCTGGTGTTGCAGGTGTCCATGGGCGACGGTAATCGCTTACCATCACGTGATCCGTCTGCTCGTCTGCCCCCTATACCATAAAAAAAAAGTTATTGCAATCCAGTTTTATAACAACAGACATTGATTTGTTATACTTATAAAGTTTCTTGGGTGTCGGCTGTTTATTATTGAATATAAAAATATACACACATCACCTAAATGTGGATTTTTCATTAGTGATTTTGAATTCTATTGTGAACGTATTAAGGCTTACAATAAAATTAAGATGGTAGTGTTGATTGTACTTATATATATAAAATAATCTAATGATATTAATATATGTATTATCTTCAGGTATCATGTAACACGAGACACAACATACGTCTGCTGGCGGACATTATTTATTCGGTTGCATTCAGCGTCAAACCACCAGGTACCTATAGTAAATTAACGTAAGACTACACCACGAAAATTGCTATGACAAAATATTTCCATGATCAAGTATTGGTACTATAAATAAAATTAAAAATGAAAAAAAAAACTTGAAACGATAGGTGTATTTACCCATGCCCAGCCGCATGTTTACATTGCTGGATTTGATTTTACTTATAATCAAAACCTTAGCTTTTCTCCATTGATTGATCCGGGCAGTTGAGTCTTAAAATACTTAAATTTATAATCACAATAAACCTTGAAATATGGTTCAATGCAGGTAGCAAAGAACCTTTGCTGCAGCAACCGGTTCCAGCTGTGTATATGCAGCTGGAGGAGTGCGTCACGCATCTCGCTCAGGAGCTGTCACAACCGGTTCTGTTGCACGATCACTACAAGCGGCTGGTGAGAACTTATTTTACCACAAACATTTTTGTTACGATAAATCTTCCAAAATATGATAAAGTACTTAATGCTGTCTCACTTTCGCCGCTGAAATGTGAGTGGGATAGTAACAGTTTATACAGTTTATCGCGTTTTGAGTGTCGATAATATTAGTACAAAAGATACATTTTATTGTAACTGAACCACACTGACGCGTTCTTTTATCTGCTAGCATCAGTATAAATCAAGGATATAATATGTTTCTTTATACTAATATTATAATATAAAGCGTTACAGTTGTAACGTATCTAGTTTTATATACTTTTTGAATTTGTTTCATAGTGCAATAAAGAATTTCATATTCATACTGATCCGATCATAAAGATTCTTACACTTACGGGAGAATCTACATCATGCGCGGGTGATATAAGCGGGTGTAGTCGCAGGAAAATAGCTAGTTTTTCAATAAATCGAGTTAGAACGTTGTAATGTTTGCAAACAGGTGAGTCAGTACTTCCAACAGCGTGGGCTGCGTCAGTTTCGTGATGCGGCTGAATTGCATCAGGCGACAATGTTCCTACACGAGAACGGTTAGCATACTAGATTAATATTTCAAATCGATATTGTAAGGTCGTATACAAGAAAAAATATATAGTTTATGTTATATTCATCATCGTCATTAGCCCTTTTACATCCCACTGCAGGGGTTCAGGCCTTCCTTATGGATGGTTAAAAACAGGGCATGCTGGCCCAATACGGATTGGAAGGTATTAACGACTGCAAATGCAACCGGAACCAACGGCTTAACGTGCCTTCCGAAGCACGTAGCAGCTCGAGATAATACTGTGTTCTGTCACCCATCCCGTGACTGACCCTTGCGAAAGTTCCTTAACAAACAACGAACAAATATAGCAACTGTGCATTAACAACAACAGAGACATTTAATTAATTTTAAGTATATCTTTTTTATATTTATTTTTATTTTATCACTTTATAATTATTGTATTGTTATATTTTTTTCACGTTATTTATTAAATATATGTACACAACAACCTTGATTTCATATCTTAGGTTTGTTTTAGGTGTTCTACTTCATTACGATGACGCCACTTTGAAAGAGTTGTACTTCGTACGTCCGCAATGGTTGTGTGACTTATTAGCTCACGTAGTCACCGTCAGAGAAGTGAATCCGTTCGCGGCCAACGGTACGTATGCTCGGACTAACTAACTAACAATTATATTAAAAATTATTATGGAATTTATGATCCTGGTAGAATTACGACGAAAGTTTCGGTTTATTTATTATGCATGTTATTACTCTTATTTAATATGGCCGTTAACTGTTTGTAATCGTTTATTGGTTAAAATAATTGGAAAAGACCCAAAGCGAAGATAACATCGAGAGAAACCAGCCAGTTTTTTGTGATAATATTTTTTAATTAGAATGGCGATTAACAATTTCATAACGAACGTAGAATATCCGAAGTCTGTTCCATTTAAATTATATGTTAGACGCGCACTCGTACAGGTATAATGCGCACCGAAGAATTAGCGCACGTGTTCAAAGCGTCCCCACTACTCGGGGGAGGGGAGGAGGCGGCCGGACTCGGGCTCTCGCTCCTCAACAAGTTCGAGCTGGCACTCGGATGGGACGCCAGACTGCTGCTAGTGCCGCCATTACTGCCGGCTCGTCCCCCACGTGCTCCACAGGTATTAGTATGACACTTGTATTTATACTCGAGTGAGAGAAGTAATAGGGGTGTAGACGATTGTTTTCAGATATTTTTACACATAAAATATATCTAAAAATAATATTAATTTTCAAAATTTCCCACGAAATCGCAACTTCTGTCATAGTGTTGAAACTAATATCGTTCTATGTATGCTTAGGGTTTTATTTTTGAAGTTCTGGTATGAATCGAGGGGCGTGACGTCATGCGCTGTTTTTCGGTCACGTGACAACGAGTATGAAATATTTGTTTTTTCATAATTCATTTAAGCGGTATTATAAATATTATAAGCATAAAAGTGTGATTATCGGTAATAGTTTATTAAACACTTCCAGAAAAAATGTATTTCTTTTGGTTTACTGTTTATATCCCTATTACTTGGGAAAAAGTTATAACTTTAGCAAATGTTTTTAATAAATACTCGAGAATTTGAATGAAATAATAACTGTTAATCATATTAGAATTCGAAAATAGAGGAACTGTCGTTTTCGTCGGAGAGACAGAATAGGTTTTCAGATGTAGTATAGTTGTGTATGTGTTGTATAGAAAAATATTAGATACGTATATTTATTTGCTTCATTTACAAGAAATGGCTTAGCTAATAGGAATTAAAGTTAAGGAGCAGGGGCTCGCTACATCACAATTACTTAGAAAATGTACAAAAACATGACGTCTGCTGCTGCTGCAATTCATTGATTAAGCAAAAAAAAAATACGTGTTTAATATTCTTCAACAATCTGCCTGACGGACAGATAAATAAAAATCAGTCATCATTCCTATTGTTGATTGTCGTATGTGTGTGTATAGTTACAACTGCGCGCGCGTTCAGGGGCACGAGCTTGGGGAGGGAGTGCGCCTGCGCAACTAATGCCAGCACTACCGCAACGAACAGACTCGCCCGCACTGTATTGTATGTAATTAGTACATTATGATAATAATTATTATATGAAGTGTGACATATAAATACGATATTTTTTAACGCATGACAAAAAAATGTTGTATGAGGACATACTTTATTCATGGCAGTTGTCCATGTTTTCTAGTTTATTGTATTCAGACCAGTTCGTAGTTGAAGTCACAAGCCAGTATATTTTTATTATTCTTATTTTGAAGGTCTATCGGTTTCTGAATTGAGAAAAGTACAAAATCTCAACAGATTACTATATTTTCTTTTAAAATGATAAATTTTTATAAAAATACTATCAACGACTAAAAAAAAATCAAATATCAGGAACGAAAACCTGTTTCAAGTGATGTTTTAGTACAGTTTGAGAAGTGTTTAACTTTAAATACTCAATACAGAAGCTGGGTGTGTATACCAAAAAAATTTTGGAATTTCGGTGTGTAAACATTTTCAGTTGCGTGAACTTATAGATTTTTTATGTACAATATAGGTAGTGGCGCTAAAGAGGACCCTCAGTTTTTGAGCTCTCAATCACTAACTAAACTACGAAACACGTTCAAATTACAATCCTGTCTTCCTATTTATCAGCGGACCGCAAGACTACATTGGAATCGTATTATAGTTATGTAGCATATAAAGGTTAAAAATGGTGGTCTATCTTAAGCGCCTCTACCTTATAAAGAGTTTTTTGTCTTTTCTGAAACTTTGCAATTATTATTTGTCGTACGTACATCGACGAGACTTTATGCTGTTGGTTACCAGCTGAACCGTCTACGTTCCGTATCGTCGGTCGCGCCAGCAGTCTGCCGCTGCGTCGGGTATTGGTGTTGTCGTATGTACCTTGCGGGTTCTGGCCGCGACTAACCACGCGCGTACTAGCGGACCCAGCGCTAGCGGCGTTACCTCAACGCCTCTACAACAAACCGCAGGAGGTAACGTAACCCTTATTCCCTAAGATAGGGCTTTCAATCCCGCAGCTTGTATTCAATATCGATATTTGTGGGACTAGGAATTTTCAATCCCGCGGGATCTCGGTATTTGCGGAATCACGCATATAGAAAATATTACTATTGCTATAAGGCAAATAAAACAAAGAATGAATCGACATAACTTCACATTTATTTAAGTTTAACTTTTTGCATAAGATCAATCAAATAAAACCGTTTATTTGTCACTGACAGCTCATTGACAGATAGTGATATTCGAAGCAAATAGACAAATAGTGCTTCCCATGGTAGTCGATATTTTTCGTCTAACAGGTACTCATTACATTTGATTTGATAACATTGAATACATTGATACGCTTATGCTTGTAACAATGTAACAAAGGGGCCCCTAAATTTTATATCTAATAATTTGCACATCTCAGAGGTGTCTTAAGAAAATTATGTATTTCCGTATTGCTCTATATTATTACACTCATGGTAATCATCCACCAGCTGGAGTTAGACGAGACGGTCAGTAAAGCTCTGGATATGAACTGGGGGTGGACATTATGGAAGACTGGCATGAAGCTCTCCTGTGGTGAACTGACACTACTCCAGCTGCAGGAGCATGCGCCCACGAGGGACCCGCTTTTGCCGCCCGAACAAGACCCGCATGACCCGCAAGACCCGCAGAACCCACATGATCCGCGGGAGCTCAGGTACCTTGTCCTTAAGGCGAGATTATACGAGACTACAACTTTTTAAACAAATTTTATTCTAAGGTAACACTAATATTCACCAAATAAAGATAATTTTATAAAAATTTAACATATAATCAATCTAACAGCTTGAAAAAAAAATTTTAATCGATTTTACGACGAGAATATTTCATCTTAACAATATAAAAGTATAAACAAAGATAGATTTTAATATATTTTTTGATCACATTTTTTTATAACTGCATTCGTTTTTTTTTCTTATGATTAAAAATATATGAAATCAAGTGAGCACGTCTTCACTCTCGATGCGTATTTGTATGAGATCGTAAGCGGAGGCACAAGAGGGCCTTATTAAGACGCTTTTATTTATTTAAAAGAGTAGCTTTTGCATTCACGGACCTTAATCGAGTGGTTCGCACAGCAGTTTCGAGCTGTCGCCGTCCCAGGGTCCCGGTTCGATTCCCTGCCGCGTCAAAGTAGTAAAAATCTTTTCTTTATTGTTTCGAGTCTAGGTGTTGTGGCACTTTCGTTATCTTAGATACTCGATAATATGGGGGCTTTAGCTACTCATCTTGAAATCTGAGCAATGTGTGTGTTGTTGTCTGATATTTATTTATTTTAACATATACGACCTCTGCGACTAAGTGTGTCCTATGCGAGTTGTCGTTATCTTAGATAGGTTCCTGGTTGGCTCAATATAGAAAACTGAATTTTCTTATTATCTTGAGTCTGGGTGTTATGGTACCTTGCTGCTATGATTTTTATACTGATCTTTTATTATAGTTTAAGTAAATATAGTTTTTAAGAATAAATAAAATAGCCAAATTTTTTATATTGATATAAGATTTCTATAAGAATAGAGAATATCGAACATATAAGAACAGTAGCAACAACTAAAGTACACGAAAAAATACTAAATTATAATAGAATTAGTGGGTGTTAGTTGTGAAATTGAGTGATGATTTGACCAGATACTTGGTGCGTTCTGAGGGTACATGGTGTGTATTAGACCCGGGATCATCTCCGAGTATTGAGCTGGTGGTGCCCGCTCCAACCGCCATCGTCCGCCGCACCGATGACGCGCCCATCGCTGGCTACCAGGTGTGTACTAAAGTTCATAATTATAATTTTATAAAGAGGAAAGATTTGATTGTTTGTTTCTTTGTTTGCTACAAAACAGGCTCTGATACTACAGGACCCATTTAAAAATACTTTAACCTACGGAAAACTACATCATATGCGGTGAACATAGGTTATATTTTCTCCCGAAAAACAACAAATAAAGAGATGAAAATGGGAGTGGAAGTTTTGTATAGGGAATTAAAACGTTACCATGGGAACCATTATTTATTATTCAATTTGTAATTATAAACTTTTATATGAATCGATATCTAAATAAACAATTCCCGAGGGACAACGCGAGTAAAGCCGCTGGCGAAAAGCTAATTACTAGATAAAAGTATAGAAATAATTGACATAAAGGACTTTTTACTTGGAGATATAGAATTAAAAAATAATAATAATAGTACCATTTCTATCGAACTTTTTACTGGAAAATAAAAAAATAACAATTACTTTAATGGGAATAACAGAATTTCTAACTGAGAAATAAGTATAGGGCTTTCTCAATGATGTGCCTTTCGTACTTAGAATGATAGACTTTATATTTAAGTCATATTTTTTTATGTTATTGAAATAATACTAATTATAGTAAATAATAATGGAATAGAAAACCAAATATTACAAACGAAGGGCATCCATTCGTATTAATATTTTTAGTGTATGTACGAGAATGTCGAGCTGAGAGCAACATCACACTCTTATTTCGATATTCCTCTCGATAAACTAAGTCTACAAATACGTATTGCTTACAAGAGATGTATGTTTATGTATATTAGAGCATTGGTTTGGAACCGAACCCGGAGACGTTGGCTAAGGCACTGGCACTTGTGTCGGACCACGTGGACCTGCTGCTGGAAGACTGGTACCCATCGCTTGGTGAGTGTGTCAATAATTTTCCTAGATTTGTAATTTGTAATCAGTGTGCAGAAATTGACATTTCTTTACACACTGTGAATCTCTGTCATTTCTTTTCATACTGTAAATCATTGTCTCTTCTTTAAATACTGTAAATCATTGTCACTTCTTTACACACTGTAAATCATTGGTACATAATGAAACAGATCTACCAATTCCAAAGATGACCGAACGTACGGTTAAATGTATATTTAGTAAGTTGTTTCAATAAGCATAAGGTATTTAATACAAATCATTAGGTGTCCATCGCTTTACGGTTCGAGGCGGGGGGGGAGGGGGGCAAGCGCGTAGATACTTGTCAATCGCCCGATGGCGTGATTTCTCAATTGTTCTGATTGTTTGGCATTTACCGAGCTTTAGCATTTACCTAAAAATTTAGAGTCTGTGCACTAGCTACATCATACATTATTAGCTATATCATATCACTGTAACATCGGAGATAAAAAACGGAAAGAGATGTCTATAAACACGGTGGCCTGAAGTTATTGACCGATATTTGTCGATATACCTACAGTTTGTTTACTACATATTCAAATAATAGTATTCAAATATGAAATTATACGGACGACACTATATGTATATTCACTTTTTGATTCAATTGAAAATTTAAGTTTGGTTTAGGAACACGATTTGTACACACATCAGAGGGGCGATGTCTCATTACGCGGCTTGTGCCGTGCCCGCTGTGTTTACGCGACGCCGAAAACGCCGAAAATGTTGACAACGCCGACAATATTCACCACGCCAGAAATGTAGACCATGCTGGAAATGTCGATCACGCCGAACACGTAGAGCACGCCGAGCAGGTTAGTTAATATTCTACTTTTAACTAGACCTATTGCCACTAGTTAGTGAAACTTTATTAGTTTTTGTTATATAAATGGTAACTTTATGTGATAATTACACATGAAATGAGATTTAATTATGCCTTCAGCATTTTTTTGCTGACTGTAGTTTTATATCAGTTAATGCAGTTCATAATCTCTTAAAAGTTGTAGCCTACTAGGAACGCATGTAAATGTAACGGTTAAGGTACTATACATTATATTCAGTCTGTAAAATCAATATATTATTTTATATATTAATAGTTGCTTACTTCTTTAGTTTAGAACATAGTACAAGTGAATCATATTACATTATTAATACATATAGTGATGTTCTTGTCATCTATACTAACATTATAAAAACGAAATGTTTAATTGTTCCTGTGTTTGCATCAAATAGACTCCGGAACTATTGGTCCGATAAAAAATTACTAAATCATTATTTGTCGACAAATTCTATAATTTACGCAAGCGAGTCGCGGTAAAACATGTTATTAAACAAATAGATAATTCATTTATTTCAGCTAGTTTATAATAATTTAAATATTCAGGCGCTCGCTCTCGAGTTGGATGGTGGCATTCGCCGTTTGTCGGAGGAGTCTCGTGCTTCAGACCGGGATAGTGGCGTCGGAGCAGAATCCAACGGTCAGTTGATAAATCATATTTCCACAAATATTCCGGAAGTTTCTTAAGGACCACTAGGTAGGTGATCATAAAATTATCTAAAGCTCCTGCATGCTTAGGAAGACACCGGGGGCAGTAAACGAAAATAAATACATAGCTATTATTTTTTCTTTCTGGTAGTGTTTTATACACTATTACCAATAATCACACTTTTACACTCATAGTATTTATAATATTGCTGAAATTTATTATGAAAAAACAAATATTTTATAATCTTTGTCAAGTGACCGCAAACAGCGCGTGACGTCAAGCCCCTCTTACTCATATCAGAACTTAGAAACTTCTACCTTATGCAGACATAGAACTAAAAAATGAACTTCGTATAAATGTATAATATGTATTTTTACTTATATGTTGTATAATATTTATTTTTTATGTAGCATCGTCTCGAATGGGTTCTGTGGAGGGTCGCGTGGATATGGTAGCGGGGGGTGGGGGGGCGAACGGGTCTGGGGGCACGTTATGTTGCGCGTGGGCATTGGAAGAGTGCATACTATGCGCGTGCACTGGCACCGCGCCCGTTTGCTCGACACATGGAACACTGGCGCTGAGGGAACTAGCTCCTGATACTGTGAGTACCATGTATTAATTATGCTCATTGTAGTAGATTCAAAAAAAAGTTTCGTAATGTAAAGCAACCAAGATCTTAAGTCCTTGACTTCACTTGCTTGATTGATCATTCCTATTCCCCTATTCTATTCCTACACTCAAGTACGCTCTGCTCTATGTTATTGTTAAGGCGGGAGAAGGGGAGTGGTGTACATTCGAACCCCCAAATTTTACAAGTTGGACTTTGTACTGTTGGTTATTACAATTGCCGTAGATGTAAGGAGCGTGCTACAAAAGAAAAGCTTCATGTGTACTCGACTAAAGCTACGATTTATATTGTACGTAGCTCGTTCTCCATAATTAACTTGTCCCCGTCCCCCCTGGGCCATCAGATGGCGACGCCCCTGATCATGTTATTTATTAGTTACCACTATATGGTTATTATATGAAATATATTTATAAACATGTGAAATTATATTTCTCAAAAAATATTAGTTTCATAAAAAAATGGTTTTGCGTTGATATTTAGAATTTCAGACAAAAACACAAAATCTAGAAAAGAATGCCTATCTATTATTGTATGGGTATACGTTGAAAATGGTTAAAAATTAGCTCTTACAAGATTAAAAATCCAGAGAAACTGAAGTGAAATATTCTTGAATGATTAATGCTTAGTAAACAATGGATCGTCTGCACTTTCTCTTAATTTGACATCATGTATTTTACATTGTATTTTACACCTGATCCTTATTGAAACGAGACTCATTATGAATTTTATTTGTGTATTAATTGTTCGTCTAGACTGGTAGTCTCCTCTAAAGATTACCTATAAGAAGTAATATTTGGAACCTTTTGTATTTCATTACTTATTTTTCAATTGTAAAATAAATTTACAGTCCACATTATTGTTTACAGCTACCAGTTACATAAAATATAAAATAATGTTTTATTTTTTGCTAATTACTATTTTCTTTGGCATATTTTATTGTTATCCTATTTGTACTTCAGATCGCATAAAATGAAATTGGTCCAGAGGACTATTGCGCCTAAATTGCATATAGGTATATCGCATACCCTTTCAGTTTGACATTTGAAAGATATTCACGAACTTCACACTATAACTATTTGACATCCGATAGCGATTGCGTTCGTTATATTTTTATCATAATCGCTTTAACTTTGAAAATTAGAAGTTTTCCGAATGTTCAGTTAAACTCATATGTTGGTATGTGTTTAGTTATTACTGGACGTCGAAGAAGATAAGCGTGCCCGTTGGGAGGACATAACTCGTACGTGTGTCGCGGGGCGGGGGGCGTTCGGTACTGTGTTGGCAGGGGTGTGGCGGCGCGGGGGGAGGGGAGAACAGATACCGGTCGCTGTGAAGGCGTTACAACCGGTACCACCGCCGCCCGCTAGCGATATTAGTCAGCATCAGGCTTACAAGGTGAGATAAGCTAATACTCGTTTATATAAAATAAATGATAAGTCAACCATCGTGGTATCAGAATATATCGATTTTAGTACATAAAAGTGAAAGATGGCTCCATCATTTCACTTAATAATCGTCTGCTGTAACGTCAACTTATCATATTGTTACAAAAAAAAATATTCCAAGAAAGCTAAAGTGTATGTATGCACAGTTAAAATCGCAAGTTTATAAAAACAAAAATATACTTACAATTTATTTTAAAACAAAAATACTGCATATTGTTGACATATACGTTATCCTTTCCAACATATCTATCTATATAAAAATCAGTTGTCTCGCTAAAACTCGAGAGCGGCAGCTGGGCCGATTTCGTCATGTTTGGTTTTGAAATGTTTATCGTAGTACAGGGAAGGTATGAACGGTGAGAGGTGATACGAGGTGCACCGGGTCATCTAGTTTTTTATAATAGGGATGACGACTAATTTTTGTTTGTTTGTCCGTCAGGTAGAGTGTTAAAAACTATTAAACACGTATTTTTTTTTTATTTATTCGTAATCATAAAATTACGGCGATGCATGGAGTTGAAATTTCGCATGACGTCACGTTATGGTACGTTTTCTACTCAACTGTGACGTAGCGAGCCCCCACTCCTCAACTTTAATGCCTCTTATCTAAGCTATTTCTTGTTAAATTGAAGTAAAAAAAAACGTATTTAGTATTTTTCTTTTATCTTGACTGACAGACTAAATAGAATTGCATTTTTTTTTACCCAGTCGTCATCCCTATTTGTCATTATAACATCATCAGGCGGCTGTGTGCCGGTGGGATCGCGAGCCGGTATCCGGTGCGTGCCGCGCCTACTGCGGGCTGCGGCAGGAGCTCGGCGTGCTGCAGCAGCTGCGTCACGCGCACGTATTGCCGCTGCTAGGCGTCAGCGCGAGACCGCTAGCGTTGCTGCTCGCTCAAGCACCGCTGGTGAGTTCATATGCTGTGATAATGTTCGAGTATTAACGCCAATTAAATTCACAATCCGATTTTATTTTCTTAATGAAATTGTATACGATATTTATGAATATATCCGTTGATATTTATCAGCGAACCCTGATAATAATAATATATTTATTGTTTGATGATAGACATAAGGGTTATTAAGTACTTGTTTCTTATATTTTCACGCGCACATTTAAACAACTCTTAAACGCTTTTACTGACTGTATTTTGAATAATTCACTTCACTTATATTTCGTATACACTTTTGCAAAAATACACTTGATAAATCCGTTTAAAAGTTGTTTCCTTTAATATCTCGATGTGATCGTCAAGTATCTTATGAACATAAAATATATGATTTTCATCAATATGTTTCGCCATATTCATCATCAGCCCTTTTTTACGTCCCCATTGCAGACCATGACCCTCCACTGGCTGGCCCTATGCGGATTGGAGGGTATAAACGATTTGATTTGATTTTGATTTTTGTGACCGACCCTTGCGAAAGTTGCTTAACAACAACGATCGCGGGCCGCGGCGCTTATCCTCTACGCCACCGAGCTACTTATCTATACTAATATTATAAAGCTGTAGAGTTTGTTTGTTTGAACGCGCTAATCTCAGGAACTACTGGTTCGAATGGAAAAATTATTTTTGTGTTGAATAGACCATTTATCGAGGAAGGCTTTAGGTTATATAACATCACGCTGCAACTATTAGGAGCGAATAAATAATGGAAAATGGAAAAAAACGGGGAAAATTATTCATCCTTGAGGGCTTCCGTTGCGTGCGCTGCTAAAACGGTTCAAGATACCAAAAATATATGTATGAAAAAGTATGCTATGGTAAAAGCAATCGATACCCAAATAAACAGTTCCCTAGAGATCAAAGCTAGTTGCCAATATATCGCATAGACATTGGGCGACTGCGTTATTACCGTGATTGTTTTTGCATTATAGGGTGCGTTGGACGGTGTCTTGCGTCAGTACCGTGGTTGCGGCGCACGCGTCAGTGAACGTGTTGTACGAGCGCTCGCACTTCAACTTGCCAAAGCACTAGAATATCTGCACGCCGCGCGCGTACTGTACAGAGATCTCAAGGTTAGTTATTATAAGCTAACCAAATCTAAATATCATCCGACCATATCGTAACGGTTAATTGGCGCCAATTATTATTAATGAAAAATACTTAAAAGTCCACTTTGTCCCTGGTACTTTGAGATGGGCTACCAGAGAGAAAAAAATGATTTTTTAAACATTTTTCATTTCGAATATTTTCCTGTATTGATCAAATATAAAAATACTTTTCAGAATGATATTTTTTATTACTTTGTGACCATGTTTCTTTTTTATGGTGTTCCCGATATTTCGCTGTTTTAAGCGCCACCCTCATTCAGTAACAACAAGGTACATACATGGTAGCAATCCCGTAAAAAAACTATCGTTCCAATACTGCAGTCTGTAGTCAATCTTGGTATTTGCGGGACTAGAATTATTCAATCCCGGTATTTGTGAGATCCCGCTTATAGAATTTGAAGAGGTGTATCAGAACACTTACGTACAGTTATATTTCAGATCATAACCTGAAACCGTCTCTGAAAACATAAAAAATGGTAAACTCACAAATAAAATAGACAGCAAGTCTCGTGCCTAAGCGAATATTATTAATTCCATGATTTACGAAACAACACAGTCGTTTATTAACAAATTAAGTACCATTTTGGGACACAATCAATCATCAATAATTGATAAATATTTTTATGTTTTAATTTTTTACTGCACATATTTGTTAACTGTAAACAACAATAAGTGGTTAGCACGCCATGTAGAAATTGAACTTTTCTGTATTGTCTCGGTTATTTGGTTCGGTTAGGTGTTGTGGTACCTTTGTTGTCTCAGATACTCCATAATACGGGGGCTTTCGCTACTCATCTTGGAATCTGAGTAATATATGTGATATTATTATTTATTACGGTACAGCGCCTCTATCAATAATTACTATTACTTAAACAAAAAAGAATCAACTTTTAAATGGTTTTATCGCGTTTGTATTAAGTTTTATTTCAGAGCTTTTACAGACTAAGGTGTTGATTGTCTTTTTCAAAAGACTATCTTCTAGTCTTGTATGAACACGGAACCTGTAAAGGATCCGAAACGGTAATAAAATTAAATACAAACGCGATGAAACCGTTTAAAAGTTGTTTATGTAAAACATTGGCAATCTAGCAAATATATTTTTTTTTATAAAAAATATACTATTTCCCATTTTTTTTTTATAACTAAAAGAATCAATTCTAATAAATATTTTTTTTATATTTTCAACGGTAGTCTGAGAACGTATTAGTGTGGGCTATGCCGGGCCCCCAGGAGGCGGCCGCCGCTGAACTACGCCCCGCACCACTCAACGTGCATATCAAACTAGGAGATTACGGTACATATCATCATCATCAGCCCTTTTAGGACTCAGGCTTTTATGGATGGTTAACGAGGATGGGCCATGACCCTCCACACTGGTCCAATACGGATTGAAGGGTATTACAGACTGCAATTATAACCGGCACCAACGGCTTAACGTACCTACCGGAACACGGAATAGCTCGAGTTTATAATGTTTTGGTCACCCACCCATTTACCGACTCTTGCGAAACTTGCTTAACAATAATGATTGTGGCCACGGCACTTATCCACTGCGCCACCTAACTACGGTATGTATAATCCCCATAAATTGCTTATGCGCCTGGCCGCCATTTTGGTGACGTAATCTATTGACGGTTATGTTCAACACTCAATAAACGATTGATTGATTGATTGACTCAGTACCGTTAACAAATAAACACTGATTGACTAATGCTTACGCTTATTGCGTAGGGTTGTGATGTTATCGTGAGCTAATATTGTTGTTTGTTGTTTTCGATTGTTTTTTTTTAAGTTTTGTTGTTATTTGTTATTGTAACTCAAAATAGCAACCGCTATTATAATTTCCATATTAAATACACCTGATTTCATTTAAAATTGAAATATGTAATGTCTCTTATTCCGTAATTACTTTTGACGATGTTTTGAAAAATTGTCCTCTCCTCTGGTTTTGCGTTATTACAAAGAAATTGTTTTTTTTTGTCTTCTTTTGCAATAAAATAAGGGTCGATAATTTATTACAACCCTATCTTGGGGATGATTCATAAATATATAAATAATAAATCATATATCTATTGAATTTTTTGCTATCTGTAAACTACAGTATCTGTAAAGTTGTTTTCAAATGACGGCACGCGTGTTTTTCTCGTTTCCTGTACGGAAGCGTTCGTGCGCGACTCCAACTCGCAGTTGGCCAGTTTTTTCTTCCAATATATTATGGTGATGGTGATATTCTTAGTCCACATAAACTAGTCATTGGATCACACTCATTTTATATCCAAAAGTTTATGCTCTTCTCCCTTTAAATTATGACACTCAACCTCAAAATACGCCATTAATTTTAAAGATATATTTTATTTACGCCATTGACTGAATAGACACATTACACATCACACATCGTCGTCACATCATATACCTCAGTGGTGAAATAATGATAAGGATCAGTTCAAATATAGGAACTACTTATCGCTTCTTTATATTACGGATTTGTGGGTACTAAAAACTGGAGATGCAATCGGTACCAAGCAGCTTTATGTGAATTACATCTTTAGTGATATGTATGTTGAAGTAAACTGTTCATAAACGGCTGTAGATGTTTTTTTTTTTAATATTTTATTCTTATAGATATACTTGAATAATATTAAAAAAAATATATATATAAATGAAATGATCTGTCATATATTAATTTAAAATCTTGAAATAAAATTAATGTTGATAATTTCCCACAAAACGCTAACCACTGTCATGGCGTCGATGTGACGTCACAGCCCTCTGAAATTAACATAAACAAACAATCTCCCTTAGAGGACTGTGACGTCACGCGATGTTTGCAATCACGTAACAACGAGTATAATTGTTTTTTAAATAATCAATTAAAATATTTTCGTTTACTGTTTACATCCGTATTGGCACTTTCACATTTTTTAAGATATGAGTTTTTTTTTACGAATCAGGTATCAGTCGAATGGCGCCGCCGTCCGGCACAAAAGGATTCGGTGGCACCGAGGGGTTTATGGCGCCAGAGATAATGAGGTACAACGGCGAGGAGGAGTATAATGAGAAGGTAAAGTGCTAAACTAATATCGATATTATAACATTACGATAAAGTCCAATTTAAAAATAGAAGTAACAAGTGCTTGAAAAATTCGTTAGATCCTGGGTAACAGTTGTTAGAGCAGTCGCCCGGTTTACGATAGGTTATGGGTTCGAGTCCCATCTCAGTGCCAGGGATAAAGTGGGGTTTTTAAGCATTTTTCATTAAGAATAAATGTTTTATATCGCCAACAAATGACAATTTAAATGGACGTTTGGCCATCATCACGTTTGTGTCGTTTATACATTGTCAGGATAAAAAAATAATACACTTATATCCCGTTGCACAAACGGCCATTTTAGTTGTCATTAAAGAGACGTTACCCATATAAATTTCCAAACATACGAGCATATATTAAAGCTTGAAGTCATCATTAAACCTTAAGAGACATTTGGACAACTGGATTATAGACGTTGCTTACATTACAATAGATAAACAATAATTAAAATAGCATATGTGTTCGTTTCGCTTAATCATGATAAAATTACATTGGAACTGGTTTTAAAATTATATGATTTGTAGGTTCAAATATCATTGAAATACTGTTCTGCCACCATTTTGTTGAGATTCATATTACCGGGTATTTGTATCGCGAGACTAGTAGTGGAAGCTTAATATACCCGTAACGAATCGTAATACAATACATATGTATGCGAGATATTCCTCGACGACTTGTCGACACACGTGTACACTAGTCGTCTGTAAGTATCTTAATGTAAGAGTTTCCTAAGCGGCATCTATTGACATTCAAAACAAATTAAACTGTGATGTTTCACCTTAAGAGCATGTATATTAGAGCATTGCTTCTTGTTACCATGTTATTTTATATCAATGTTTTTGTAGGTGGATTGTTTCTCTTACGGGATGGTGTTATACGAGATGATATCTTTGCGGCAACCGTTTGAAGGCCACGAAGCTGTTAAGGAGGCTGTATTAGAAGGCGCAAGGCCAGCACTCACCAACAGGGTACGGTAGAAGTAGATTAAACATTTTGAATGAATGAGTGTGAAACTGTTGAAAGTCACGATTGAATGAATGTCAATCTAGAAAAAGGAATTTTCTATATTGTCTCGGGTCTGGGTTGTTGTACCTTTATTGTCTCAGATACTCCATGCGGGCTTTAGCTACTCATCTTGGAACCCAAGCTATGTTATATTCATACGTTTCTCAGATATTCTATCCATATGTCATTTCGAAACTCATTTTACTTATGCCAGGACACGTTAATACTAATTATATTCGGACATTCGGTATTCAGACATCTGAGTGAATTCGAATTCGGATTATGTAATATCGCAGGGCGGACCCTCAGCGGGACATTAATTAATTGTATCTTCACGCCATAACGTTGGTGGGGTAGGCAGAGAGGATCGAACGCCACAATGTACGGTCCTTATATACATTTTCAGCCTCGGCCACATTCATTACTCTTTTCATACGCACTCGCCGGTTTTTATGTCTTCCAACATTACCTAAAAGCACGCGATTGATTTGATCGTGAAAGGCGTGTCGTGGCCTTCCTCGGGTTCTGTATCCTTCCATTTTCGCGTTGTATATCAGTTTTGTTATAATTTCATCCGAATTTCTTTGTACATGTACATGTTACCAACGGAGCATATTCATCCTGTTATATGTGGTGCGTCTACCATGGTGGACACGCCCCGTTACTTAGGATCTATGGCGCGTAAACGTTCCAAAATTTTTATGTCATTGGCAGAATGACTACGCTCCTTTGTCAAATAAAAATTACATGCATATCTTACAAAATTTTTGTTTATTATCGTTCACAGTGTGACCTTCAAAAGAAAGTTTCTATTTTGATAATATAATAATAAAACAAGCATAAGTACGGTCCTAAATTGTGTTCTTTTATTAATTAATAAAAACATCGATATGTGAAGTATAGACATCGATAGCATAGCATTAAATGATCTTGCATAGCAACTTTTTAACGAAAAGTTGTTTCATTTATGAATTATGCATGTGAAAATATAAGAAATCATACTATTCTCGTTTTCGTAAGCAAGATTAGTTATCTGAGAACATAATACAAAAAACCTCTTTTTGATCCATTGAGAGATCTAAGTAACAGAGGCATTAATATAACGTGCGGCATTTGTTTACGTTATGCGCACGATAATCACTTGACCTTGCCGCATACGCTGCGGGAAACGCCGCGTCCCAAAGATTTCATAAATAACTAGCTTTCGCCAGCGGCTTCGCCCGCGTGGACCCTAGGAAAATGTTTAGTGGGAAAAAAGTATCCTATTATCTAAGTCAGCTAATACCCTATCTGTATACCAAAATTTCATTAAAATCCGTTCAGTAGTTTCGGCGTGATTAACGGATAAACATCCAAACAAAAAAACTTTCATATCTATAATATTAATAGGATTATTTAATGTGTGCATCAGGAGTTGTGGTATCCGTGCAATGTGTTACAACTGATGTGCCGTTGTTGGAACGGTCGTCCGGAGCTCCGTCCGGGCGCTGCGTCGTTAGCGGCTGTGTGCGCGGCGCCAGAGTTCGTCGCTCTAGTAGACGCGGCCACTACTCGTGCGCACGCGCCGCCACCGCAACACGCCGCCGCAGCGGTCGCCATCAAACACGGTTAATGTTATAAACGTGATTCATCTATACTCTGATTTTTAATTAGATGGACAAAATTTAGTGTGTTGCCACTTTATCCGTAATAAAAAATATTGTTGTTGTATGAGTGATAGAGATTAATTTAAAATATAATAACTTTTTCATGATTAGAATAACACAACTAATATTTCGACGTAAAACTATAATTACGACGAAGTTTTATGTATTTTTATTAGAAAGATAAATAAAACAACCTGATGAAGATCTGATAATGAATTATTTAATAGATCTAATTTACGAAACTCAAACAAAGACTTCCAACATTGAAAGAAAAAAAAAAGAATTGAGCTGTAAGTTTAGTCTAATAATATAAGCATCAATCTAGTAACACTAATAAGTAATAATGTGATTCGCTGATGTAATATAATATTTGTATAGATCGAAGACAATTTTTGTAACCAAATTTGGGTGTTTTTTTTTATATACGTCTGCACGTCAGGTTATTACAATATATCAAAATTTGCAATTTATATCGAACTCTATTCTGAATGCTTTAATGTTTATAATCAAGTGGAGAAAATTGACAGTTTTTATAGCCTGGCGTTCTATTAGCTGTACAGTAATATAACTTAGAAGTTAAGCCTTTCAGATTAATATACTTGAAATTATTAAAACGTTTCTATTAACATCCAGCCATCGATAGGATAATTGATACCATTTCATCTTAGATTTTCTTCTTTGAACAATAAAGCAAGATCATATAATAATATTGTAAAATTCGTTTTATTAGAGGAAGGGGGAACGGGAGGATGGGAAGTGTGGATGGGAGGAGAACCAGGGAGAGTACGATCACTAGTAGTTGAAGGAGGGAGGTTTACAAATCAACACGTACTGCCCTTACATTACGGTGAGTATTGTATAGTATTTAATAAATATTCTATTCCACCAAAATTTACATGTTAAATGTTGCCAAGACGTGTCGTCACGCACCATCAAAAAATTTTCAGAACTTATCTAAAGCCAAGCTTCTTACTGTACAAGCTTTAACTTCAAAAATTCTGCATCTTAGTCAAACCCAGTAGCTTGGCCGTTTCGCTATCGTCAAAGATCACTATTCCAGTGTATTGTTTACTACTTCTCTGTTATAAGTATCAAAACTAGGCAAGAACTGTTTTGATTTATACTCCATTCATTATAACATTAGAAAAAAGAGGATCACAGAAGCAGCAGTGCAGAACATTTTATTTAGAAGATAAATTTAAAAATTTATTATTAGAATGAGTATTTATTTGTGTACTGTAATTTTGCCATAAATAAATATTTGAGCATATCAAAAAGTGTGTTTTACAATAAAAAAAAAATGTCATTTACTTTATATACAGACAAGTCGCCCTCCGGCGAGGTGGTCACAGTAACTGCGATGTGTCGCGTTGGCAATAAGCTGTGGCTCGGTGACAGCGCCGGGCGTGTCTCAGTGTACCAGTGAGTTTTATTTCTGTGACTATAGAGTTCAATTTTGCTTTCACCGTGATACATGTTTTTAGGTGATAATTTGAATATCTAAAGAGTCGTATTTATACTATAACTAACTTGTTTGCAGCGTTGGAAATTTTTATTACTATAAAAATGATAGGCTTACTTTTGCTGACCATAGTTATTCCTCTTGTCGGCAAAAGTTAACGTATTTTTTTTAACAATACTTCAACATTTGTTAACATTATCATCTTTATTTCAATAATAGAAAAGAAATTGTAAGTATACTGACAAAAATCCGTCATTAGCCTCTGGATATAATAGTTACATCATAAGTACCTACTTGTTACAGGCATATTCTTTTAGGGTAAATGGTAAAACTGGGGATTTGTCTAGGCTAATAAAGTAAAATGGGACCCTACGGCAACGCTCAACGTCATCTGTCCGTTTGTCACCAGACTGTATCTCATGAACCGTGATAACTTGACAATTGACATTTTCAAGGATGATATAATTTTGTTGCCGCTGTAACAACAAAAAAACTGAATAAATTATTGAATATAAAAAATGAGATTTAATGTGTTTTTTATTGATTTGTGTTTTTTGTTGATAATAACTCTTGGTCGGCATTTTATCTCCGATGTCAACATACCAAATTTTCTCTATGTGTGCGTGTGTGTGTCAGTGCGTCGTCGTGCTCGTTGTCGTGGAGTGTATGCGTGTGGGAGGTGGTGGGGGGAGCGCCGTCCGCGTGTACTGCCATGTTGCCGCTGCAGCGGCTGCAGCGAGTAGCGCTAGCGCTGGAATGTGGCAGGTGAGTTAGCTGACAATGACTCGCACGTGAATAAATAGGCTACTTGACTCTTTTTGAAGTACGTCTTAAACAAATGATATTTGTTCATACCATTAAGAATATTACAATATTTCTTTCGGCTGTTTAGGCAGATTGCCTGAACATTGATGAAAATACGCTCGCCAGTACTATTAGGTCCAGTCGGATTGCGAAAGGTCGTGGTCGCGAAACATTTTTCATTACTGATATTTTCCAAGATAGCATTGTGAATGCAAAATTGATCAAAAAATTATAATAATAACAATATTTTTTGACACCTTAAAAACTAAGCAAAAACGCTGTACTCCATATTGGTCTACGGTCTACAATTGTCTATGTATGATGTCACTTATATTGTAAATAAATTTTGACTATAATATTAAGCATAACCTCACCTCACGTCATTACTCGACGGTAAATCACTGTGGTGTTCATTATTCAATATGTATGACATCATATCATAACGTTTTAAATAAAATTAAAACCCTTTAGTTGAATTTATAAATTAATTTAGCCCTGTTAATTATTATAATTGATATGACTTGTTTTTCGAAACCAAATATTATAGGAAATATTTTTGATAGTGGAATGTTATATAAAATCGGGACAAAATAAGTATTGTCCTGGAAAATCTGGGAACGGTAGCAACTCTGACGTACATTTAAAATTTATAATGGACCTTGTATTAATAACCATAAGCTGTAAAATACAATCTTTTAGGTGTCTATAAGCGGCCAGCAGCTGCGAATAGATCTTCATTTCATACAGATACGTCAATTACAGATACAGATACCTTACGTTCAGTTACAGAAACGTCAATTGAGGTTTTTGAATTCTACTTTATGTTCTAAATTTGAATATTTGTAATGGTAATGTCCACTTCAAACTAATGACAATTTAAATGGATGTTTGTGCAAGCGATGTTTGATTATCATAGAAAGTTGCTTTTTGAATGTAAAAATATTTAATTAATTCATAAAATATTGACTATCGAAAAAAATATAATGGTGACCGCAGAAATGCTCGTGTGTAGATTGTTTCTGGTGACGTCACAGCGACCGGAAGCGGAAGGTGGTTTCGTTTTATCGGAACTTGGTGCCGCCACAACACTCACGTGTTTAGCTGCCGTGCCCACGCCAAACGGGTGAGAATCTTACGCGTACTATTCGAATGATTTAAAATGACACCTAAAGCTCTATCCTATTTCTCCGAAAACGAACTTTGTCTATTTTCGAAATGCTAATATGACACCAAAAAAAACATATATATCGATAAATTTATGATGCAATGGAGGTAGGACCTGACACCTTCCTCCGTTAGTCGTATAAATCAATACAAATAGATATGTTTTAAAAAAGCTATAGGAACAATTCCAAATTTTTCGAAATTTCAAAACAAAATGCGATAACAAATATAATATAATAATAAAAACTTTTAATAAATTGTTGGATTCCACGTTTGACTTTTTTACGAGTAATTCATAGAACGAACTAATTCCAGGCAAAGAATGGTTTGATGTCATTCCTAAGGTGCCTGTAGTTTTCTCTAATTATTCCTTATTTGAGTTATAATATTTTATACAAATAATTACGCAAGTATTTATGCGAAAACTGTTTACTGTGTATATTGACACTATATTAGTTACTACTTCAGTTGTATTGACGCTGTATGTTTTCAAAAGAAAATAAAATAAGTGAATGTTGTTAGATGCGAGGTGTGGGCTGGTGGGGATGGATTGAACGCGTACGAGGTGTGGTCGGGCGGAGTGAGGGCGGCGCACGCGGTCAATGCGCCCGCGCAACCGCGTCTACTAGCCGCCCACCATAGACATCCACACGTGTATGGATACACTAGCCCTGGTAATATAATATACACGGTTATTTTTAAGTACATAAAAATTTTAAGAGTTGTACCAGAACAATTCAACATCATCATCTTCTGATCTTTGACGCCCTACTGGACACGCAAGCCCAATACGGATTGGAGAGTATTAATGGCTGCAAATGCAGTCGGGACCAACTTAACGTGCCTTCCTAAGCACGGAGTAGCCTGAGATAATAAGTTTTTGGTCACCCAAACCGTGATCGACCTTTGTGAAAGTTGTCTAACAACGACGATCTTGAGTCCCTGCGCTTATCCACAATGCCACTGAGCTATACACTTATGCCCTTATTCACTAAGCTTGGCAGGCTCCCAAACCTGACACCTAAATATTTGAGCATTTTCTAAGGTGAAAATGCGTAATCACCAATGATAAGGAGTCACCTAATGACTTTAAGCAACGCTTAAAATTAAAGACATGCACTGTGCGGCGCCTAGCGCTGGGCATTTGCGTAATGTGACAGATACATTTGATGATGTGTAACGGATGAAATATTTATTTAGATGAAATATCAGATTTGGCGACTTCGAAGCTTAGTGAAAACGGGCATTAACCTAGTAACTACACAGGGTGTAACATTAAGTATGGGAAAGTCGACAGTTATTGAATTTCACTAATAACGAGCAATTTCGGCGCAATGATTAGTGCATCTGGTCCACAATCTGAAAGCTAAGCAACTTTCGCAATGGCCGGTTATTGGATGGGTGACCAACATTAAAGTATCTTTGTTCTCTTCAAAAGGCACGCTAAAAGGCAACGCCGTTGTATCCAGTTGCATTTGAGGAAGTCGAAACCCACCAAATCGCCAAGTCCATTTGGTTAAGCTTTTCAGTTCTATCTATTCTAAAGCCTATGGCCACAGCAGTGGATAAATTAATAGCCTGATGACGATATTATGTGTTACGTCAGGTGTGACAGTATACCAGTGGTCTGCTGTGACTCGCACTGTATCAGCCCGTCTCGACTGCAGCAAGTTAGCTCCCTGCTCCGAGAGTCTACATTCCATGCCTGAATTGAGAGATACGCCACACTGCGAGGTATTCTACAAACATTCGCTTAATATTTAATAGCTAACTAGCTTTCCGCCAGCGGCTTCGCTCGCGTGGTCTCTAGGGAACTGTTTATATGTATACGATTCATAACACGACTCGGATATAATTACAATGACAAATTGAATGGTAAACAATGGTTACTATGGTAACGTTTTAATTCTCTATACTAACTTAAACACCCATTTTCATCAATTTATTTGCTGTTTTTCAGGATAAATATAGCCAATGTTCACCGCGTATGTTGTAACTTTCCGTAGGTGAAAGAATTTTTAAAATCGGTCCAGTATTTTCGGAGCCTATTTGTTGCAAACAAACAAACAATCAAATCTTTGTAATATTAGTATAGATAAGGTGAACTTTGAAAATTTTTAGTATGTCGCGCATTTTGTATTTAACGTCTTATTGGTTAAAAATCTTTTTTTTATTTCGACACCGATATGAATGTTATATATAAAAATAGTTTTTTTTACTATTTTATTCTCTTCGATTTTTCAGTTTTTTTTTCTCTACTAATGGATTATTCAGCAAAATTTAACGAATATTAAAATTGCCACATTGGTCCACTCTAGAGCTTTTTGTTTAATTTGTTTTTCGCGTACAACCTCATCGTTGGAAAAACTATCCTATAATGAATTGGTGTATTTATTTATTATTATTTATTGAAGTCATCTTTGTGTGTGTGTCAGGTTTTATCTTTGTGCGTGTGCGGGTCACGTGTATTCGTGGGCACCGGCGCAGGCGCACTTATTGTAGCGGATGCAGCATGTCTGCGGCCGCTCACAGTCTGTCGCGTGTATGAACAAAGCGTGAGTTTTATACTGTATAAATCGTACAAATTTATATGAAATTAACATGTAGACCTCTAACGAAAATTCGGAAAGTTTCGAATCGTTCTTATAATTTTCTTAAAATCATTCTGTAAAGATTATCTGTATCTGTCGAGTCGTAGTGCACCCAAACACAAGGTTAGTTTAGCTTTGGGGCCTTCAATTTTTCACGTTTAGATCTATTTTATCACTCCATTGTACTCGTACATGAGAAGGATTTAGTCTTCATAGGTTAATAGTGTTGATGGGTTGCCATGTATGTGCTGCCAGATTCTCGCATTCTAGGGTTGCGTGAGTAATGGTTTGTTCTACATAAAATACTAATAATGAATCGACCGTGTGAGCGAGACTCACAACAAGTCGAACACAATTACTTAGGACGAATAAATCGAGTTAGCGAGACTCACAACAATGAGTCGCACCCAAATTCTAGGAACGAATACTAAGCAGGGATCGACCAAGCGAATAGAGTCCCTTACAGCATCGAGCCGATAATCCTTACAGCATCGAGCCGATAATCCCTTACAGCATCGAGCGAGTAAAGTAAGCGAGAAGAAACTACAAGCAATTTTACGATCTCGCATGTTCATGTGTCACCACTTATACAGTAGCATACATTGTTTCTTTTCAATGTAAACACAATATCCACCAATAATTGGCAGTATTTTTTAAAATAAATTTATGATAAAAATTTAATTTTATTTATATAAGGTTTTGCAATTTTTATATATATATTTACTAAGACCTATAATAATCTATATATCGACTTAGTTAAGCGATATATCGATATCGACTGGAATAGATTGTCCGCTTTCACGTGGGCTTGTAATAGTCTAGACTGTATAAAAGATATTGATTTTGCCTTTACACAGGTTACATGTATAATTCCACTGGCCCCACACGATGGGGCGCCGGGCCCACCGATGATCGCCACCTTTGGGGACACTTATCGACCCTTGCTCGACAGATTCGCTCCTATTAACACCCAGGTATTGATAATATGTGAGCAGTAATCATTATGTGTATATATTTCCTGAAATACGGGTGTAGACAGTAATGGAAAATAAATACTTGTTTTTTTTCTGGTAGTGTTTAATATACTATTATCGATAATCGCTCTTGTATGCTTATTATATTTACAATATTACTCAAATTAATTATGAAAAAAAAATTATACTCGTTGTCACGTGACCGCACGTAGCGCGTAACGTCACGCTCGTCTACTCATATCAGAACTTAGAAAATTAAACCTTACGCACACAGAACGATATTAGTGTTAGGTGGCGTTTTCGCGGGAAATTTTGAAAGTTTAAATTAATTTTTAGATTTTGACTTATATAAACTATACTTTTGTATAAGTTTTTTAGATATATCACATGTATATCTATAAAATAAAAATATTTTAAGAAAGTCTACACCCCTATTTTGATTAAACATCACTAGTAGTTATAAAAAAACATTGATATTTTTTTACATGTTAGTTTTGAATTCCAAAGAATAAGATAGTTTATGGTGTATTGTTCTTTATAATAGGTTTTGTAATGAAATACTTTTTGCTTAGTTATTAATTTGTGAATAAATAAATATTATTATTTTTAACGTGACCATTTATCAGAATTACATTTTGTACATCGCTGTAGCAGTTGGTACGTCATCTCATCAGAAAGTTAGCATAAATGTAGTGTATGTGTCTCTAACAGTTACTATTATGATTTATTTATTGATGATTTTAAATATCATTTGATTTTATCGAAAATTAATTTCTTTTTAATGGAAAATGCTTAAAAACCTACTTTGTCCCTGGTACTCTGAGATGGGACAAAGTAGGTTTTTCAAGCAATTTTTATTAAGAAAATTTTTCAGTATGCATTGTGAACGCAAAATTGATCAAATATAATAATTCCTTTTTAATGATATTTCAGCAACAAAACAACAGCAGTAACTACAGTGGTCCGTATTGTTTGCTATGGCGCGCACATCACTGGCTTCCAGACTAGAGAGCTGATAACTCTTATAAAATTATCTTCCAGGGTTGAAACATTACAGATTTTTTTCTGTAACATGTATTTTGCCAGTCGTGGTAAAAGTTGATTAACATAAAAAATAGATGGCGCTTATTTTAAATAGTTGACAATTTTATTGGGGTTGTTTATTCTAGAACCAACAGCCAGGTTTTTTCAGTTGATTTAAAGCGTTCAAATTAAAAATTAAAATCAATACTGGTGTGTGTGTTATACGTATTATTTAAGTTTTGATTTTGTATAAATAAATAAAATTAAATGTCCTTCTTGCACGTATTGGAACGTTTTGTCTTCATCTGTCTCTGTCAAGGAAGCGCCTCGGGGCACCTACTTGACTGTTTTGGCAAGGGTATTTTAAAACTTTAAAGTTAAATATTTCTACCTCCTTTTTCCTTTTGTCTGTGGCGTCATATTTTATTTAACATAAGTACTTGTACGAAGGTTTCACTCGCTACGAAGACGTTGACGTTTTGTTTATTGAAATATGACGTCACACGTCCATACTTCGTCATGGCCGACTGCGTATCTGTTCTTTTAATGCACAGATTAAATAAAACTACATACTTATTGCTTACATATAAGTTATCATTACCGAACATATTTTTTATAACTGTCAAGTAGCGACATGCCAAATATGCCAAATATTTATGCATGTGAAAATTCTGCCCATGATCATGTTATTATGCTATGCTTCTTCTTGAGATGACATTTCTCGAATGCATCATACTATGCGCGCTGAAGATAAAATAAATGCCATGTCCCATTTGTTCTTGAAAGAAGAGACAAAACGATTATTTCGTGGATACTTCCTTTAATTAATGGGAGGCCAAAATAATAGATTTAAATTGTAATAATTAATAGAAAATATAGAATTCGCCTGAAATTGGAACTTATGAATCTCATGAAGACTTTCGATTATGATTGAATGTTGATTAATGTTTTATTTTTATGTGACGAAGATCTTATTAATCAATTACGGTCATATAACATTCAATTATGTGATAATTTTTATGTTGTGATTTTTTATTATTGTTTTTAAGCTTTAACTGTATACTTAATAGTAGGAAAAAATATTTTTGAACAAAATCTTAGTTATATGAGCTCTGTGATCACGTGACTCGCGCGCCAGTTTCATGGTGTTGACATCTCTAATTTGAGTGATTCGATTCCCGATCAGGTCAATGTAGAAGATGACCTATTCTATTAAATTACGTCGTCTGTAGAAGGTTATGACACTATCGTTTTTTTTTATGAGTTTAGTAAATATAAACAATTTGATCGTATTCTAACACAAATATTTTTTGGAACACCTCGAGACATAACTCGGGTTTCACCTTGAGATCAGAGTAATATATATGAAATTGGTGCCAATAGGGATAACGACTCATATTTGTTTTGTCCGTCAGGTAGATTTATTGAAAAATATTAAATACCATTTTTTTTGCGTAATCAATAAATTACTGCGATACATTTAATTATAAAGTCGCATGACGTTCACACTTTATTTACATTTTTTTTACACAGTTGTGACATAGCGAGCCCCCACTTTTAAATTGAAGCAAATTTTAATTGTTTAAATCGAAGCAAAAAAAACGTATCTAATATTTTTCTATTAACTGACTGACGGACTAAACTATTTATTTTTACCCAGTCATCATCCCTAACCTGTTGTATCACTCTTTAAACTAAAAAAAAATACTGTAAAATTTTTCATACTTGTATGTATTCAATAAAATACAATTATACTCCTAGACACTATAACATAAGTCGTTTTCGAAATTGAAAATGCAGTTTGATAGGACTGAATTTATTTTAGCTTGTGTAACAGACTTGTTGCCATTATCTTATAATCTATATATATAAAAATGAATCGCAAAATGTGTTGGTAAGCCCATAACTCAACAACGCCTCGACCAATTTGGCCAAATCTTTTTTTAAAATGTTCGTTGAAGTTCAAGGATGGTTTTTACGGCGAGAAAAATTAGAATTATTGCTGGAAAAACCCTAAAAATAGCCCTTTTCTTTTTCCCATACAAATGATTTGTAACTAAAACGTAGTCAATTTGAGCTTTATTGCTATGGTATAAAGTTCATATTAAATTACAAGCACTCACTGTTGTCTAAGCAATGTAGGTGTGTTCCTAACGTCAAAGATCATATCTATCAAAACAATGTGCGTGTGTGCGTTGGAGCACAGAATACATAGTTGGAGGAGTTTAATGTCGCGTTCCGAAACTCGCGTTTCTTTTGTATTAGTTTCGGCACGCGAGATAAAATGCATCAGTTTCCACGTCATTACATGTATTGCCGGAACATTGATGAAAATACGCTCTGTAGTAGCAAAGCTGTTGGGTCCTAGATAGCTCATTGGTTAGAGCAGTCCCTGGATCGCGAATGGGTTCGAGTCCCATTCCGGGGTACAGGTAGATGGATTCTTCCAGCATTTTTCCTTGAGAATGTTTATATATTTTTTTTAATTCGAATAGTTTACTTTTATAATGCTGTTGTGTGTAATGTGTTTTTATGATCATAAAAATCTCTTTTTTCTATATTTAATACTATTACTATTAATACATTGCAATAATAATTATGATTCACATGATTAACAATAAAGCGATTACTTACTTTTAAATCCTTATATATGTTTTACTTAATTATTTTTTATTCACAACGCCCTATCACCAGGGCGACGGTTCTGTTCAGGAGAATTTTTTTAAATACGTAGGCAAAAAAACTGCCACATTACAAATCTTTTTGACAGGACGAAGTCTGTCGGGTCAGCTAGTATTATATAAATTTAAATGTAATCAGTTGTGACGCGTGATTCGTGAACACAACATTAGTCTTGGTTCTTGACTGAAATTGTTCCGCGATTCATTGGCATGTTATCACACACATTCTACAC